ATCAAACCACACAATTGACAAAAACCCTCATAGGGGCACGCAACTAAGGATTATGTTTGGGAAAGGATGGAGGCCAGAGGGGATGGATGCATAAAGCAGCTACAGTCATTAGTATAATAATATACGACACATTCACAAGTGAGTACTTAGGCATGCTTTTCACACATTCTGATTGGTTAACTCAGAGGTGTCCAGCAAAGTACTACATGTACAATTCTTTCTGGATTGAGTTCAGGGCTAAAAAAAAATTGAATTCCAGCTTGCCGTCAGGACAAGCAGCTCTCAATAATTGTTACTTGCCCTGGGTAAATCTCAGTTTACTTTAATTTCTTTATTTAGATGGTAGTAAGACAACTTGCCTGGACCCTTGCCCATCGAGCGAGTGAGAACAAAAAGATACTTGTCCCGGACAACATACAGCTGTACTCCCAGGTATAGTGAGAGTGGTGTGTCCTGCCTGAGAATGGGAACCTAACAGACCTCTCATTTCAGAGTCCATCCACTAAATTTCACCTTCTGAAATTATCAAATTCTGATAAGACAGTAATTTGACACTGCTTTAATCAGTGCTTTACCTTTAAATAACCAAACTGTCTGAATTACAGAGCACAACTTGGTAACTAAATCTCTTTGAATGTTCACTGAGATTCTAAGTATAAAATACCTCCAACTGCTGGGATTACAGGTACTTCTACAATGATCAGTAAGGTGTTAGAAGTGATTATGGGGCTGTCCCCTATTACCTAAAAATCCCATTCTGTATACTCATATGGAATGTTTTGAGTTGAAACTCTAATATCTCTTGATTAGCAAAAGAATTTTGCAAGAGATTAGAGATTGAAACATCAGTCTGTCAAACATGTTCAAGCTTGAGGCTATGTATAATCAAAATGAACAAGTTTTGACTTGGATTCTTGCAGATATGTGGTTCAAAATAATTTTTCAGTGCCAACTTTTTTCAGAAATCAGTGGAAAGTGAGGTGGGTATGCTGTACCATAAACCAGAAACATCTCCTGGAAGTCTTCATGAGCATCATTCTTGCCGCCAATAGAATTCAGAACTTGCATGCACTCCCTGTAAGCAGCCTCAAGAAGTTCTGAGGCACTAATACTCTACAGACATGTCCTTTGTTTTCACATGAACATTCCGCAACAAAGTGCAATCCAGTTGCAAATTAGGCTGGTCACAGCTGTGTCAAAATGCATACCTGATGCAGTGCATCATCTTGCATAGGTTGATATTTAGAATTGTTTCAGTTTACGTTTGATTAAATGCAATCCTAAACAAGTGAATTGAACAAGATGTACCCACAGTTTGCAAAGACACAAGCGTCAATCTGTTCAATCCACAATTGCTTGTTACGTTGTAAGTAATTCGCCTTCCTTGCCCTCCTCGAGCTTTGCTTCAAGTAACGCTTCTTTCTCCAACCTTCTCTTGTCCATCCAAGGTCTACCTAACTGAAAGATTGCTGCAGTGCCCAAAAGAACGCCAGTCCTGGAGGAGCAAAAAAAGTTTCATCACTTTTGAGTATTTTTAGGGTATTCTTGCCACTATCTCAACCAAACCAAAAAAGCAGGTTTAAAAAGTTTTTCTTGTCTTCCTGTTTGACAATTTCCATTACATACCAGGAGCGTAGCCAGGATTTTTCAACACTTTGTCAACGTGAGGGTACTCACCAGATTGTCATGTTGTTATGCCACTTGTTGTAGGTTGTTTTCTTAACAAACGCTTACAAAAGAGGGATTACAGGTACCCCAGGACCCCTTTAGCTACACCCCTGCACATTACATAGTGGGCTATTTACTTCCACTTTTGTTTCTTTTTTCTGTTTATCTGTTGTCTTGAATATCTGAGCATGTATATATGCCAAATGGCAGCTACAAAAAGTACATGTAGCCTCTATTTGGTATATAAATACAGAAAAGTAAACACATTTATAAGGATCTTAAAACTACACGGTAAATGGTACCATAAGAAACATTTTTGGCATGTTTTTAATAACAAAATTGTTGCAACAGCGTTTTTAGTGTCACTGACAGCCTTCCTCTGGTTCAGCTAAAATACAGCCTCATTACCTTTTGCTCACCACCAGAAACTAATCACTCATTGAATAGGCTTGCCACCTCCATTTCATAACATGAAATGTTGGGGTAACCGCACCTTTTTTAAAGTTATTGATCTTTTTTGAAAACTTCTACGGTCCCTGTTACATTTTTTCCTGTCACTTCCCCAGTAAGTAAAACTTTTGCGTATCTTGCGCTTGTTTTCCCCACATACTACACCATCTGCAGGTACATGCCTACAGTTGGATTTCAGTGTAATTCTCGACAGATAACAGTTAGTTTTTCCGCTGGAAGACATTAAAAGTTAGTGGATAGTGATATGCTGCTATTCTGGTGTTCCTGGTTTAAGTACAGGTTCATTAAACTTGATTTCATCACAGTTGGAATTTTTTACTTTCATTTTAGTCATGGACTTGGTAGCACAGTTGATTGCATCAATAATGTCAACCCCAGCACGTACATATGGCGCTAAAACTATGCCATGCGTGATGGGCAAAACATGTGCGCACGAACAAAAGTAGGCACCGTCCTTAAGTTCACTGCTATCTTCCTGCAATTATCAGCAGATTCTGTTCGTGACAGTGATGTGTGGCTCTTGAACAAACAAATCTATCTCTTGCTGTTTTCAAGTCTTTTAAGCCTTAAAATGTGTTGTACTACATGAGCTTATCTGCAAGTATAGAGTCTATAAGCTACAACATGACACCAAAATTCAGTTTTTCTGGTCACGAAAAACCCGCCAATATATCATCACTTTTACCGCTAGTAGGTTCGTTCGAGACAACCATATCATCCCTGAAGCAATTGACAACTGAAACATTTTAAATCCAGTTGACTATGCAATTTAATTTATCAAGATGCATCATCAAGATCTAAGGTAGTGAAAGCAGATTATGTAAAAAAATACTATTTCTTGATTCAAGGTGATAGAATCTAGAGGACGAGAATCTAATTCGTGGCAAGAACAACAGACACACGACATCAGTCTGTGCAAACAACGTTGCTTGCTCTTCAATCTCTTTGGTAAACAAAGCATGCAAATTATTACTCACCAAACGCCACATGATATAAATACAATACGAATTCGACGCCGCAAAAAAGGATCCAAGCTTTTGATTTCATCTTTTAGATCCATTTTCGCACAGGAAGGCCGCCAGACGAACGCAATCTTCACCAGGCGCACTTCTGCTCACATGTGGTCACGTGGTTACCAATGACGTTTTCCTGTTCGCTCCTCTTCCCGGGCTTGACATTTGGTGTCGATTTCCAATGTCCATTTCACAACTTCAGTTTCCGGTTGCAAAATGGCTACATCGAGGGCCGAACAAGCCACGAAAGAAGTCTTTGATCTGTATAGAAAGTACGGAAACCGAGACTATATCGGCGAACCCGTTTCACAGCAAGAGCACATGACTCAATGTGCTATGCTTGCGGAGAAAGAAGGCTTCCCAGATGAGGTCGTTTTGGGGGTTTTCCTTCATGACATTGGTCATCTCATCGGTTTCGACAGGTCTTTGCCTCCCATGGGAGACGTTGGCACCCACGCTCACGAGATCATTGGAGAACAGTTTCTGAAAGATCTTGGCTTCCCAGACGCTGTTACAAGTTTTGTTCGAGGTCATGTAGATGCCAAAAGATATCTCGTTTGGAAACATCCACAATATCATGAAGAGGTATTTAAAGATACAAAGGGGGCGGCTCCCTCGGAAGGGGGAAGGGAGTATTCCTATATTTAAGCTATATGGTTATGTGCCGCTGTGAAGGGTATCAGGTCTTCAGACCTTTTCATGCAGTTTATTTTGGGGTATAGAAATCGGATAGTTTTGGTCTAGAATAGGGAAGAGATTTTTGGTGCCTAGTCTCAATTGAGTGGGGTTGTAAAATCGAGCTCATCATGGTCTAGTCTGTCTAGTATAGGGTAAGGGTTTCAGGGTTCCAGCGGCACAGCCCCACCCAAAGATTTACACAGTGCTCCACCGGTGGTGGCTCACACTGTTTCAGTGATACACTTTGTGTTATTTTAAGTTACAGGATCGGGAGATACCCAGAGCTGCAAAGGAGTTTGCGGGAATACAGTTGATGAATTCTATATTTTAGGGTTTCATAAGTGTTGGCGAATATTTTGGTAGGGGCTCAGAGTTTTAGGTCTGTCACGCAATATTTACCAACGTCGAACGTAAGATTGCGTGACAGGCCAAAGAATCTTGTTTTTCAGATACTAATTTTTATGATTTTCAAGATGGAAAATGTGCAAAATTAAATACAGTAGAGCCTCTCCTTAGGGAAAAAATATCCTTTTTTCCTTTTTTTGTGTGTGCTTTCAGCTCACTCCAGCAAGCCAACAGACGCTGGTCTTTCAAGGGGGTCCTATGACGGCAGAAGAGGCTGCAAAGTTCGAGAAGCTGACTCACTTTCAAGCCCTAATTAAAATGAGAAATTGGGATGATCAAGGCAAAGTTAAGGGCGCTCCTATAGACTCACTGGATAAATATGAAAATATGTGTAAAACGTTGCTAGAAAGTATATACAAAAAATAATAAAAAGCACATTAAAGAGCTGTTCAAATTAACCATGAGGGCAAAAGAGTATTGAATTAGTGTGTTGCTTTATTTACCAAATTGTTTCCAGTTTCGAAGGCGCCTCGGATATATAGCGTATCTTATAGGTGAAATAAATTTTGAATGGGTACTGGCGTAAAGAAAAAGAAAAGATGTCATGGGTCGAACAGAGATTCAAACAGAACACATGCACCCCTTTCCTACCCAAGTTGCTTCCCGTAGAATTTCAAGTATTGTGACTTGTGAGGGTGCACCCGACTCGGTTCTCATGTCTATTAATTACTTAGTTGAGACAACAATGGCGGTTTTTCTAAACCCAGATTCTTGACCTCTTAGACCTGCCTTGCACCCTATTTCATAACTAGATCAGAAACGCCATTTCATATACACAATTACTATTCTTTGCTTGTTTTTCTTTCCTATTCAAAGACAAATCTATAACCCTATCTGCACAAAGGTAGCCTCCTAAGACCCTTTACCACCCTACGAGCGCAGCCATAATTGCATGGTCACGCAAAGTGGAGGAGCGTTGCGTGAGACCTAAATAACGGCTGCCAAGTCACGCAACACTAAGGAACATTGGGAATGTGGGAATCGCGTGGTAAGGCAAATCTCAAATGTCCCCGGGTTGGGTTCAGCTACACGTAGGCTATCCAAATGGCTGCCAGCGCGACACGATGGGGAATACTTGGCGCAAGTCGAATCGCTCACGATTTCCTCGTGGCCATGAAAACGTTACCAGAAAACGAGCACACGGTAGTGGCAGTAGCCTCTCGCTCTTTAGAGAGAGCGGCCGAGTTTGCAGGCAAACATGATATCGGGAAAGCGTACGGTTCCTACGAGGAACTTGCTAGGGACGAGAACGTAGAAGTTGTGTACGTCAGCACCCTCCATCCCACACATGCTCCTCTTTGTAAACTAGCCCTGAATCACGGCAAACATGTCCTTTGTGAAAAACCAATGACAATGAACCTGAAGGACACCAAGGAATTGTTTGAACTTGCTAAGGCAAAAGGATTGTTCATCATGGAGGTAAGTGAGAGAAATTTTGTTAACCCAAGCACCTCATATCCTCTCGTGCAGCTATCCAGGCCTTTCCATAAACGTCCAAATATTTTGGGGTATGTTTAGAAGTTTTCAAAAAAGTTTAGAAAATATTTTGAAATAAAGAACGTTTAGGGATACTTAGAAATATTCACTTCTTTTAGCCTACTTGTGGCCGTACCCACCCCCCGCGGGGGATGGATACAGACCTGTGTAGTTACGTTGGCTGCCCTGTGTTTTTCTTAGTTCTTTTTCTTTGCTGTTTTCTTGAAACAAATGACTCAATTCTCTGCCAGGAAGAATCTAGCTCCGTGGTTTCCTCACTTGAAAAAAGATTCTTTATGAAGCAGCAACTTTCCAAAATTGTAATGCTGATGTGTCAACTGAAGGTGTCTTGACAGAACAGATTTCAGTCTCTGTGATAATAGATCTTATTTTTTTAGGCAATGTGGACAAGATTTTTCCCACTGCATGCAGATGTCAAGAACCTAGTTGATTCCAATGTTCTTGGAGAGCTTCGAGTTGCCCTTGTCACATTTGGATTTAACTTAGACTCCGTAGAACGACTGCAAGACCCCAACCAGGGGGGTGGGGCGCTGCTGGACTTAGGAATTTACTGTTTGAATATTGTGGACATGATCTTTGGAGGTGAAGAACCTTTAAGTATATCTGCAGCTGGACAGAAAACATCTGCTGGTGTAGACTCAACAGTTACAGTGACAATGCTTTTTAAAGGAAATAAAACAGCTTCTTTAACTACAAGCATGGGTGAGTAATAATGATGATGAGGTTCTGGAAGATGGGGATGGGAATGGTAGATGGAGAAGATGATGATGACGATGACAATGACAATGATGACGATGACAAGGGATTGGGGTATGGGAGGACAGGGACAGGGATGATCGTAATAGTATGCAGAAAGTTCTTGGTCCAACACCTAGTGGGAGAACTCAGAATTTTTATTCAAAGATAGCATGTGCCATTCAGACTAGTGTCTTTCACATATTTCTACCAAGCCTAACATTTACCACCATTTATAAATTTATTGTAGGCGATGTTAAACTGAGGTTGTTGGAAGCCGTACAACAACAATTTTGAATCTGAAATATTGCAAACAATAATTACAAAATGATGTAATAAACAGCCTCAATTCAAAGTTTTATTTATCAAAGCAAACGCTATCAATGTGTTATTTGTTGACTGCCCCACACTGTTTTGGATTTTTTTCTTTCCTAAGGGGTGAACTAATATTATTATCAGAAACTGAGTCAAACCATTCACATGGTCCAAAACCAGGAGGCAGTCTGCGTGGCAAGTGAACATCATACATGAAAGCTTTATTTGTAACTGATAAAAGCCACTTGGTTGTCTCCTTCAGCTGCCCAGCTTCCCAACGAAGCCACATTCATAGGATCGCAAGGTTCTGTGACCATTCATGCTCCTTTCAATTCTGCCACTAGTTTCACATCACCAGCTGGAATAAAGGAATATCCTCTTCCGGAGCCTTCCATGCCTATATACTTTAATAATTCTACTGGTATGAGGTAAGGCTGAAGCATCAAGAGTGATTGACATGTAAATATTTCTCCCTTAGTATGCTGTCATATTGATTCTAGAAAAGCAGCTTATGGGGCAACCCTAACTTGAATCATAGACCCACAATGATTATTCTGAATCACCGATCTGCAAGAAATCCAAGTCAAAACTTGTTAATTTTGATTATAACAGTGACATCTTACAAAAATTGATGTGCATGACAAGTGTGCACGGCCACACTTTGCATGCAATTCATGCCTATTCTACGTAACACCACTAGGTTACTGTATGCAGTCATATTGTAAATGATAGGGCATTTCTGAGTTACCTTGTTCCTCTGTTTCAAAACGAGTCCTTGTGTAAGACCTTTCCCATGAAAACAAGTTTGATTTGCGTGAAAATGAACCTGCAGGCAGAAATCACTTTTATATGAATAGTTTCGCATGAAGACTTGTTTTGACACAGAGGCAAAGGGCAACTCGGATATCGCCTCAGAAAGGGCTGCAGCTCCATGGCACTTTGCATACAATGCTCGCTTATGAGGTTACACCACAATCCACATGAAAAATTTTAAAACACTTGTCCAATTATGTAACTCTATGCATATCCCTGTACATGATCAGTCTAAAAATCTCTTTGTCTTGTAACAAACACTTGTGAAAACCTTTTCCTGCTGTAAGATCAAAAACTCTGGTTTTGCTTGGCTGTCTCATACCATAATGTTTTACTTTCCACTCAGCGTCAGATCCAGAGGTTCAAGAGGGAGTGGCAGATAAAGAAATGATGTGCTCCATTTTAGTCATCCTTAGAGAGCCAGGCGCAGTTAGTCCCTTAATAGATGCATCTCTCTGATTTTTCTTTCGGCGAGGGTGGCTGTGTCACAAGCTAGTCAGGGAAGGATGGAAATCTTATCCTCCAATGAATTTTGCCCATAATGTGCTTTCCTGCATGAGAAACCAAGATCGTCCATGAAGGAGAGTAACAAAAATATGGCTGGCAAATTTGACTGAAGGTTCCAAGAATGCCAAAACTTTGGTTGCACCACTGTTTACCTGGTTTTTACTTTGTTTAATCATGGCTATCTACACCTGGCTCTCGCAAAATGTGTCTTGCCTGAAAGGCAGGGACCCAGAACAAAGGCCAGCCCTCTCCTCAGTACACTACCCCTTCCCCTCAGTAACATAATTTTCAACAAAGAAGCCCCATCAAGGATCTTAGGTCACTGTGAAAATCAAAATCTCTTCTCACTCTTTTCCTTGTTTTATAGATATGAAATTCAAGCTGTGAGGAAAAGTTTATTGTCAGGTGAACTGGAGAATTCTACAATGCCGTGGAAGACAACAGAAAAAATATTTCGTTGGATGGACGAGATCCGTAGGCAGATAGGAGTAGTTTATAAAGAGGACATGTAGGCATTTTTTCAGAGTGCACCAAACTAACTTTTTAGGTGGTGTTTGCAAAATTGTTTGGTGATGTAAACTTAAAATTTGGCCTTACTAACTGAAAGCTTTAGGATCTGTTTTTTTTTTAGTGGGTCAATTTTTTTCGTGTCTGTGTGAGTGACTTAGCTAGCCCCACAGTAAAGCAAGCAATGAAGCAGAGTTGCGTGTGGAAACTGTTTTGTATCTCCTCAATTTGTATTTCCATTCTAACATGTGTTTTGTTGCAAGTAGTATTCCACTCATGCATAAATGTTGTAACCATGCTCTTGTGTGAAAAATGGTAGATAGTGTCCCTGAGCTGATTTAAATAAGAAAACAAAATTGGTGATCGAATGAAAAAACAATAAAAACTCTGTTATCGCAAAATATTGTGATTTGTTAGAGTCTTGCAGATCAATTATTTGCCTCATTCTTTGGCTTTGGCAAATAATTGATCTGTTTGCCACTGACAAGATGTGTTTTATTCAAGATGATGAAAATAAAATACAATACAAAGCACATCTTGAAAAGGAAAACTAGATGTTGACCCTATGGCATCTCCCTAAGTAACAGGATAAAACAGATATAAACTATGTACTATGAAAATATATAAAATAGAATATCAATAACTATCTACAAAAATATGAATCAGGTCACTGACAAACAATTAACAAATCACAATATTTTGCAAGACCCCATCTAGTAATTGTTAATTGAAGGCTTTCGTGCAAAAAGGGCGTATATAGCATTTTGGGCCAATTTTAATTTTTGCAGGATCGAGCTTGTTTTTGGCAGACTGACTTGTTTTGACACGAAATGCATGGTTTTTTTGGTTAAAGGTGTCCACTGTAAGTAACTCTGAGGAGAGAGGGAGAAAATTGAATGAAAATGCCAGTTTCAGTGGTGATCGAATAAGGACAAACATGAACTGTAACAACAACACTACAGATGAAGTTAATGAAATCTTAAAAGATAGCTTTATTCAAATGTTTCTGTTTCCCTGAATACATTCAATATCTATATCTGGTATTAATCTATTATTATCAATCAACATAATATCATTAGCTATTAATAATATTATAATTATAATAATTAAAATCTCACTGATCTCCATACTTTACTGTATCAATAGTATAATAACAAGAGACAACAAATTAATGTCATGAGTACCCACACGAGGCAGATGAAATGACAGCAAAAAGATTATTGAGGCTGTTGCAAAGACAGGTCTGTTTCCTCGAGAGCTTACGGGTACATTAAAAAAAATTATTGAGATGAACAACAACCAAGTTCTTAGTCACCTCAGAACTGTCTCTCTCTATTTCTCTCTCTCAAATGTCTTCACGTAAATAACCATGAAAACTTAATATATAAATAAATATCTATTTCCTAGCACTCAAAAACACTTTGATTCTTGTTTAACTTATGTTAGTATGTTATTTTTCGCTTACCTAGAAAATAATTTTCCTCTCATAAATCAGGTTGGTGAAAATAAATGGTGGAAAAATTTCAAGCTTTTTTTTCCCTTCTAGCCTTGCCATACCCAACCATTTCTGTGTTATTAGCTGTTAATTTCCTTATAGATATAATAATTGTTATAGGAGTCATAATTATGTAAAGTAATATCCACAAAGAGTTTAAGCATACTAGAAAACATTTCACAAAATTTGTACATTGTATCAGCTATTGACTTTTCTTACTCTGCAAAGTAATTTACAATTCAAAAAGCAAACCTTCATAAAGACAGATGATAAAGTTTGGATATTATAGAGTGTTTTTGTTTTAACATATCCTGCACAAATTATGGAATGGAGGAGTTTTGTCAAGAGCGTTCTACAGCTCCAGTTTGCTTATTTGATTCTGTGCTCTTCACTTGCCAATCTTAAAACCAAACCTGCCTATGACCACTAAACAGTTCAACATGGAAATGACCCCAATAAGTGTCTTTGGAAAACTTGATAAAAGAGTGCAATTAAATATTTTGATAACAATAAAGAAGCTCAATAAAGCTGGCACAGAATCAATTCATGATTTGCCTTACAGGAAAGTAGTATAGGTTGCTTATTGGGTTCATAGCCAATCAGATTGCAGGAAAATTTGAATGGACCAATCAGAAGGCTGGATTTGGCCCAAGGGTCACATGGGCCAAATCCCGCCTTATGATTAGTCCATTCAAATTTTCCTGCAATCTGATTGGCTACAGACCCAATAAGCTACACTACTCAGGGAGCAGTATGAACCCTGCCTACTGACCAACTCATATTTCCGTCCACTTACTAATTAGTCATTTCTGTTAACGTCAAATAGGTTTAAATAATGTGATAGATCAATATGTTCTGGTTTAAAGATGATTTCTTTGGTAAACAAATATATATACATCTCCTTTGGTACTATATATCTAAATTGCATGAAATAACTTTGTCGCCTTTGATGACACAATAAACACCAAGCTAATATTATTTACAAACTACATGGTAGCACTTTCATTGCTCATCCATTCTTAAGTTTTTTTTCCACGTAAAAATTGTATTGGTTTTTAAATTTATAACTTGACACTTACAGAATGTTAAGGTTAATAATGCTTATCTACTGTCCATTTTGATATCAAAATATTTGCATGAAACTTTTCACTAACTACACATATCTATCATAAACTATCATATATATATCTAAAATTATCAAATGACATTTTTTCATGGAAATTTTAGATGGTTAGTATATGCAATGCATGTAGGACTACAATGCTGTCCGATTTCGAAATAACATTTTGAGACCTGACTAAATTGGCCGAGGCTGCAGGCTAGCTAGGCAGATTCCAATTTTGGCAATCAGGGTAGTTTTTTTAATTCTTTTACTGTTCTACCAGGATGNCTGGCAAATTTGACTGAAGGTTCCAAGAATGCCAAAACTTTGGTTGCACCACTGTTTACCTGGTTTTTACTTTGTTTAATCATGGCTATCTACACCTGGCTCTCGCAAAATGTGTCTTGCCTGAAAGGCAGGGACCCAGAACAAAGGCCAGCCCTCTCCTCAGTACACTACCCCTTCCCCTCAGTAACATAATTTTCAACAAAGAAGCCCCATCAAGGATCTTAGGTCACTGTGAAAATCAAAATCTCTTCTCACTCTTTTCCTTGTTTTATAGATATGAAATTCAAGCTGTGAGGAAAAGTTTATTGTCAGGTGAACTGGAGAATTCTACAATGCCGTGGAAGACAACAGAAAAAATATTTCGTTGGATGGACGAGATCCGTAGGCAGATAGGAGTAGTTTATAAAGAGGACATGTAGGCATTTTTTCAGAGTGCACCAAACTAACTTTTTAGGTGGTGTTTGCAAAATTGTTTGGTGATGTAAACTTAAAATTTGGCCTTACTAACTGAAAGCTTTAGGATCTGTTTTTTTTTTAGTGGGTCAATTTTTTTCGTGTCTGTGTGAGTGACTTAGCTAGCCCCACAGTAAAGCAAGCAATGAAGCAGAGTTGCGTGTGGAAACTGTTTTGTATCTCCTCAATTTGTATTTCCATTCTAACATGTGTTTTGTTGCAAGTAGTATTCCACTCATGCATAAATGTTGTAACCATGCTCTTGTGTGAAAAATGGTAGATAGTGTCCCTGAGCTGATTTAAATAAGAAAACAAAATTGGTGATCGAATGAAAAAACAATAAAAACTCTGTTATCGCAAAATATTGTGATTTGTTAGAGTCTTGCAGATCAATTATTTGCCTCATTCTTTGGCTTTGGCAAATAATTGATCTGTTTGCCACTGACAAGATGTGTTTTATTCAAGATGATGAAAATAAAATACAATACAAAGCACATCTTGAAAAGGAAAACTAGATGTTGACCCTATGGCATCTCCCTAAGTAACAGGATAAAACAGATATAAACTATGTACTATGAAAATATATAAAATAGAATATCAATAACTATCTACAAAAATATGAATCAGGTCACTGACAAACAATTAACAAATCACAATATTTTGCAAGACCCCATCTAGTAATTGTTAATTGAAGGCTTTCGTGCAAAAAGGGCGTATATAGCATTTTGGGCCAATTTTAATTTTTGCAGGATCGAGCTTGTTTTTGGCAGACTGACTTGTTTTGACACGAAATGCATGGTTTTTTTGGTTAAAGGTGTCCACTGTAAGTAACTCTGAGGAGAGAGGGAGAAAATTGAATGAAAATGCCAGTTTCAGTGGTGATCGAATAAGGACAAACATGAACTGTAACAACAACACTACAGATGAAGTTAATGAAATCTTAAAAGATAGCTTTATTCAAATGTTTCTGTTTCCCTGAATACATTCAATATCTATATCTGGTATTAATCTATTATTATCAATCAACATAATATCATTAGCTATTAATAATATTATAATTATAATAATTAAAATCTCACTGATCTCCATACTTTACTGTATCAATAGTATAATAACAAGAGACAACAAATTAATGTCATGAGTACCCACACGAGGCAGATGAAATGACAGCAAAAAGATTATTGAGGCTGTTGCAAAGACAGGTCTGTTTCCTCGAGAGCTTACGGGTACATTAAAAAAAATTATTGAGATGAACAACAACCAAGTTCTTAGTCACCTCAGAACTGTCTCTCTCTATTTCTCTCTCTCAAATGTCTTCACGTAAATAACCATGAAAACTTAATATATAAATAAATATCTATTTCCTAGCACTCAAAAACACTTTGATTCTTGTTTAACTTATGTTAGTATGTTATTTTTCGCTTACCTAGAAAATAATTTTCCTCTCATAAATCAGGTTGGTGAAAATAAATGGTGGAAAAATTTCAAGCTTTTTTTTCCCTTCTAGCCTTGCCATACCCAACCATTTCTGTGTTATTAGCTGTTAATTTCCTTATAGATATAATAATTGTTATAGGAGTCATAATTATGTAAAGTAATATCCACAAAGAGTTTAAGCATACTAGAAAACATTTCACAAAATTTGTACATTGTATCAGCTATTGACTTTTCTTACTCTGCAAAGTAATTTACAATTCAAAAAGCAAACCTTCATAAAGACAGATGATAAAGTTTGGATATTATAGAGTGTTTTTGTTTTAACATATCCTGCACAAATTATGGAATGGAGGAGTTTTGTCAAGAGCGTTCTACAGCTCCAGTTTGCTTATTTGATTCTGTGCTCTTCACTTGCCAATCTTAAAACCAAACCTGCCTATGACCACTAAACAGTTCAACATGGAAATGACCCCAATAAGTGTCTTTGGAAAACTTGATAAAAGAGTGCAATTAAATATTTTGATAACAATAAAGAAGCTCAATAAAGCTGGCACAGAATCAATTCATGATTTGCCTTACAGGAAAGTAGTATAGGTTGCTTATTGGGTTCATAGCCAATCAGATTGCAGGAAAATTTGAATGGACCAATCAGAAGGCTGGATTTGGCCCAAGGGTCACATGGGCCAAATCCCGCCTTATGATTAGTCCATTCAAATTTTCCTGCAATCTGATTGGCTACAGACCCAATAAGCTACACTACTCAGGGAGCAGTATGAACCCTGCCTACTGACCAACTCATATTTCCGTCCACTTACTAATTAGTCATTTCTGTTAACGTCAAATAGGTTTAAATAATGTGATAGATCAATATGTTCTGGTTTAAAGATGATTTCTTTGGTAAACAAATATATATACATCTCCTTTGGTACTATATATCTAAATTGCATGAAATAACTTTGTCGCCTTTGATGACACAATAAACACCAAGCTAATATTATTTACAAACTACATGGTAGCACTTTCATTGCTCATCCATTCTTAAGTTTTTTTTCCACGTAAAAATTGTATTGGTTTTTAAATTTATAACTTGACACTTACAGAATGTTAAGGTTAATAATGCTTATCTACTGTCCATTTTGATATCAAAATATTTGCATGAAACTTTTCACTAACTACACATATCTATCATAAACTATCATATATATATCTAAAATTATCAAATGACATTTTTTCATGGAAATTTTAGATGGTTAGTATATGCAATGCATGTAGGACTACAATGCTGTCCGATTTCGAAATAACATTTTGAGACCTGACTAAATTGGCCGAGGCTGCAGGCTAGCTAGGCAGATTCCAATTTTGGCAATCAGGGTAGTTTTTTTAATTCTTTTACTGTTCTACCAGGATGTAGCAATATAACTGTTATTTATCTTGCACACGAAACTTACTAAATTCTCTGTTAATTTGGACACTAACAAATTCAGAATTAATTTGGGCTGCTTGCAAAATTAACAAATAATTGTGCATGGTCTTTGTATGGGATCTAATGGTCTAACAATATAATTAATATTCTTCTTGGGAGAGAAATGTCAAGGTGTATGTGGAGTTAAGAATACAGTACACCTAGATTCCTTAGTTGGAATGAGTGAAAAAAACATTAGCTAGTATTCTGGTAGTGGTATGGGAATCAGTTAAAGGCCATTTCCTAGTTATCTTTTGCCTCTGTGTCAAAACTAGTTTCCAAGCGAAACCATTCATATGAAAATGCATTCTGCCTACAAGTTTATTTTCATGCTAATCAAACTCATTTTCACATGAGTTGTTTTGCATGAGGACTCGTTTTAAAACAGAGAGACAATGTAACTCGGAAATGGCCTATGGAAAGTGGTGTTTATTTGAAGGCCTGGTGTTTATTTCACAAAATGCAGCTCACAGCCTTACGCCTGCAACGTTTGACTTTGTGATCCACAGATAAAACTTCTCTTCAACTTATCAAAGATGCGTGTTCTTAGCATGAAGGAATTGACCCCGAAAAGGGAGATATTAAAATTAATGTAAATTCCCCCAACAGTACAAAAACCGACACATACAGAAACCAGTAGCTAGAACATTAGGGCTAAAAATACGTTATGTTACAACCAGCAGTTTATAGTTCTCTGACTTACTTAACATAATTAACATAATTATGCATGTACTAATTAAAATAATTATGCATACCTGTCAATAGGATTGTCTGCTGAATTAATGTTTTGAGCTTACACATGGCCTGTAGAATAATATCTACGTGGTGCAATGTACGTGTCATGGCTCTTAAAACCAATAAAATACTTTTTAACATGTTTCCTGTTTTATAAATATGGCTCTAAACTGACTAAAGCACAACAAATTGTTTCTGGCCTAGTTACCCCTTGCATATTTTATACTATTATGTTACAAAACCTTGTTTACTGCCTGCAGTAGTAGATAATTATTATACATTAAATTAATGTACAAAAGGTTACTTTAGCGTGAATGGCCCTCAGTGGGTCGGCAGAATGGTCTGAAAGGCAGTGTGAATAGCTTTTCTGGACTTTTCACCATTTGTCTTGATTTCATCCATGTTCTCTGACATAACCTAATCAAAAAAAAAAGATTGAAAAGCTGAAGGTACTGTACACAATTTGCCAAATTAGAAGTGCAGAGGCCCAATGATCACAGCAATGGACAGAGTGAAGCAGTCCTGGCCCCAGTGGTTCAAAGCGTGGATGAAGCTATCCACCATATAAATAACCATCCAATGGATAAGTGTTGACCAAACAAACCACACTATCCTCAAGCTAGGGAAGGCATTTAAATAATAAAACTTGGTCACAATTTTGTCAGACTTGTTGTCAAATTTTGTTAAATGGGATCACAGGGCTCAAAAAAAGTGCCGTCCAGATGTCATTTTCCTGCCAGGCAAGTAACTTTTCATTCTCACTGGCCTGATGGGCCAGGGACTCAGGCAAGTCGTCAGCCAACTAAATTTAACAACAGTAAACTTGGACTTCCCAGGGGTAGGCAAAATGTAAGAGCTACTTGTCCAACAGCAAGCTGAAAATCAAGTTTTTGTCGAGCCTCAGATCAAGCAGTCTAGTAATTTTACAGATGTTTGTATGGTTGTGTGCCAAGAGTTTCGATTAATAAAAAATGTGACGATGATGATGATGATGATTTGATATTTCTACCTTCTGAAATTCAACTTCTAAATTCTTCTTCTCTTCTTTGTGCTGATTTTTAAGCTCTTCCAGTTCCCTCTCTTGCCTGTTTGACAACTATTACAAACAAAACATATCAATCATATCTGTAAGTTTAATGCCTCAACACCTAATTCCAAAGAGGTAAAATTCATGATGCTTTACGTACCCTCTGCCTTTCATCAACAAATTGTTTCAGATTTTGCTTATCAAGCTCTCTCTGTCTCCTGAAAACATACAAAGGTAAGTCTGTCAGAAGAAAACTACGCTTTTATAAAAATGTATTATAGCTGGAATTTGACTCTTAAAACTGTAGGGGACCTCAAGAACAGAAATTAAACAAACTTTTTCTTGGGAATCGGTAACAGGACCCAGAGTGCAAGAAATTACTGCTCCATAGCTTCCATTTGAATGTTAATAAACACACCAGGTGCCATCCATAGAATAAATTGTCAAAGCTACCTTTCACAGAATAATTAACAGCAGCACATGAAAGTACTGCTCGATAGCTTTCAATTGAATGGTCACACACCAGGGTTTCATCCACAGACTCAACAGGTTTGAACCACTTTGAACAGCACAATAAATAGTACCACATGAAAGTACTGCTTAATATCTGCCATTTGAGTGGTCTTGCATTTTTAGATTTTTATACCTAAGATTGTCCTATTTACATTATTAAATGATTTATGAAGCCAACAAGCAGTTTAATACCTGTCTCTCTCCTCTTTAGACTGGATAGTTTTGTCCAGTGCAAGGGCTTTAGCAGATTCCATTGACTGTTTTGTCTGTTTCTTTGTTATCTCACTGTTTTCCCTTTAAATGAAAAAAACACAGGGCAATTAACACCTTTACCCAACTAACTTGGACAAAAGTTGTCGCTGAATTTCTTTTTTTTTTTTTTCAACACTGCACACATCTGTCTAATTTTTCAGCGATACATTGAGCAAACATTTTCATCTGCCTACATTGAAGCTGCTTTGTAGGGGGCGTGGTGGCCTCATACTTAGTGTGCTTGATCCTGGATTGGGCGGTCCAAGTATATGCCCTGACCGCAGACACTTTACTCTCACAGTGCCTCTCTCCACCCAGGTGTATAAATGGGTACAGGTGAACTTAATGCTGGGGGTAACCCAGTGATGGGTCCAGCATGCCATCTAGGGGGGGGAGTAAAAGTACTCCTATTCCCTTCACTCTACCGAAACTGGAGATAATAGTTGCCCTGATAAGCCACTTGACTCGTATGCAGACTTTAACCTTTTACCTACAGTGCAGCTTCAGGCTACAATAACAACACGTTTACTGTATGACAATGGCTATTAAGGCATGACAAAAATTGTAACCAGGATGTAACTTTTAACTTTAGATCATAGGCCTGCATTGCGTGCAAAGGCTTTTAAAGCTGTAAACTCTTTGCAAACATGAAATGATCTACTTACAGCCCCTTACAGGCATGGCTAGACTATGACACGACATGGCTTTTAACAATGAATAATCCTTACTTCTCATGTCTTGCAGTAACCTCTTTAATTTGAGCCTCATGAGAAGAGTCCATAACTTTCTTCAAAGTTTCCAGTTGCTGTGAAATGGAAGACACCATGTCAATTAACAACTTGAGGCTTTACTCGTAATACCCTGCCACTTGAGTTAATTCATTCATGTGCATTTCTTGTTCTTTAAAAATATGTTCCCAAGTAAAATCAAGAACAATAGTGGCAGGGTAGTGGAAGTAATGTTCCAAACTTGCTGTATCTAATTTCTCCTATTCATTCAAACACACTTTAATGCAGACACATAATAAGAAGACAAGGAGATACTGCCTCATATGTACATATCGTCAAATTTCTTTGTGGAGAAAAAGGGGCTGGAACATAGAAAGAAAGTGATGTTCAGAAAGTCTACAGGAGGATGGAAAATTGATTCCCAAGGTGATCGGAACTAGGAGAAACAGTAAAATTTTCCAACAAGGAGTCAAAATCTGTATTACAGAAACCAAAAAACTGCAAGCTAATGAAAAATTTGAAGAGTGGAAACCAAGAGAAAAAGCTATAGGAAGGTAGAAAAATCAAAAGAGAAAAAATTCACTGTTTACGTAATTGTAATTGTATCTGTAATTAAGTTCTTGATCGTGATTGGTTCTCTACACACCTCTTTGTCATGTAATCAGTGCAGGATCTAGTCGGTGTCCATTACAGGTATCCCATTACAACTTATTGAAACTGGATACCTGTATTGGATGCCTACGCCATTTGCCTGTCAATTACGCTTGTTTAATGGCTTCCTTCTTAATGTTTCTTTCAGTTTTGAAAGCTAATAGAGAGTGCTACTAACTTTTTTGCTCAAAGGAAATTCTCAAAAGAATTTTTCAATTTCAAAATTTGTTTACATACAATTTAGTAAAATTTAGTAATTGGACCTCACGTCATACAATTCAGGGAGCAATCATGCTGATTATTTCAAAATTGGCCTCCTGCTTTGAGCTCACCCGATTTTGAAATTACTTAATAAATGCGTGATTACTCCCCGAATTGCACTCCATTCAATCCAATTACTTAACTACTTACCAGCTCAGCCTGTTGCTCATAGAACCCAATTTCCTCCTCAACTTGTCTGTTTACCATATTTATCCACTCCTCTGTTTGGCTTGTTAATTTTTCCTTTGCCTGCAAATAGCAATATTCACATGTTGTTTTCTGCAAAGTGGATCACCACTTACATAAAAACAGCAAAGATGTAGATGTTTCAAATGCAAGAAATGTTGTAAGCTGCACAGTCACTTTTACTACCTTGTCAGTTTGGGTTTTGTTGAGATAAAGCATCTTGCTGTCATGAACTTTTCGCAATTCTTCAGATTTGTCTTCCCTGAAACAGACATACATTGTTAATTTGATCCACCTTTTAAGTTTATTTTCTTCCAAAACAGTGCCGATTATTAAACAACTGCATTAAAAAGTTCTACACTAATTCTATCTTCACTGATTTAAAATGCATACTAAACAGATTTACAAGACATTTTGTCATCTCTGTTTAGCTAATCCGTCAGGCCATTGTCAATGAAAATCTGGTGGCCTAAATAGAGGATATTACATGGCCACGCGGAGATGAAAAATTTATCTTCTCGTGTTGATAAATATTTCACAAGTTAGTGCAGCGCACGAGTGAAATATTTCTCAACATGAGAAGATAAATTTTGCATCTCCAAGCGACCATGTAATTTTCTTTTTATTATATAAAATATTCACAGTACATAACAATATTTGTGGCAATTTTCTGAAAATTTCGAAAGATTTTTCAAAATTGGTCAGAAGGCCAGACGAACAGTTCCGAACATTTCCGGTAGATTTCTGGACATTTTCCGAAGATTACCGAAAATTTCCGAAGATTGCCAAGGATGACCAAAGAAGATCAGAAGATGTTTCGATCATACACCAACAACTTTAAGTGTAGTTAAAGGGTCAGAAGATCATTATCAAAAAATGATATCTTCACAAGTGAGGATATCATATTGTTTTTATCAATTTGTTACCACTTGGTATACCACTGACTTTTACATAATAAAGCTTAATTCTTAATCAAAGTGTAAGAGTCACAAAAACAACTGAAATCCTTCTTTCACTGTTTAAAACTTATCATTGATTCATTGTTCTGAGAGCAGTCTATCACCATCTCCATTTATTTCAGTTAACTTCAATAGGTTGTGGGTAACAGTTTGGTAACCTTAAGCCTGTTAACCAAAACCTGGAGTTAAGAGGGGAGGGCAGAGGAAGTAGGAGAGAAAAGTATAGGAAACAGGACATACTGGCCATCCCCTTCCCCATGGTAGTACCACTCACCCACATCGTTTGACTGCACGCTCAAATGTTTTTATAGCTGTGGTTTTTATCTTCTCGTAGTTTGTTATCAGCTTTTCCAGTTGTCCAGTATGAACTCTCTGCATGGCCAAACGTTCCTGAAAAAATACAACATAAAATCATTGTAAAAGTAAAATAAATAAATAAATAAATTACAATATTTAGAGAGGAAGCCACATCAACCTTAGCTGGTTTTCAGGCGGGTCCTCTATCCTGGTCAAATTGGAATTTGGAGATGTTGCTTTTTGTGGCGGCAAGAAATCCGGGGAACCCCGAGAAATTTAACTCTCGGAGCAAGGCGAGAACCAACAACAAACTCAACCCACATGTGGCACTGGGCAGGAATTGAACCCAGGGCGTATTGCCGGGAAGCAAGTGCTCTCTCGACTGTGCCATCCCTGCTCCTTGCGCTCTATATAAATTCTTTCCCCACTGAAGACACAACTGGAAAAGTTCCTGATGACATCAGTTAATGGTCTACAATTGAGCTATTGCTTGGTTTTATGGACGCAAGAAAAAATTTAAAGTAGTATGTACTTACTTTTGTGTATCTCTTCAAAAGTGCTTCGTTTTCTTTCTGATGTCTTTTAAAGACCTTTAAAAATGTCTGCAATTGGAAAAAAATCATCATTGCTGGCACCAGTGAACATTCAGTAGAACTTCAATAATTGTATGCAACATTGATGAACAAATTTTGCTATTTTGTTGGTGAGAATGGTCCTCAAATGAGAATATGATTAACTGAGATTTTCTCTGGCCAAACATTGGTGAGGCACATAGTGATAAACTTTGTCATCACAGGAAATTAATTAGTACACTATAAATAACTACACAATTTTCAAGGAAGATTTTAAAAGCTTGGGGATACAACGTTTTGTCATCTGCAGTGAGTTACCTTGTCTTTCTTCAATTCTTCCACAATAACTGGAGAAAATTTGAAGTCGTCTAAACAGAGAAAGGAATGAAGTTATAAATAACCAAAAGTGCAAAGGAAAGCATATTAAGGGAGCTCCTGTCATAACATTTTTAGCAAATATCAGTCACAAGATCCTCATGTTGATGAACACTGAAATCTGAATCTGAATCTAAATCACTGTTGTATTAATAAATTTGCTTTAATTATTCACGTAGGATAATAATACACCTGCCAACTAGTGCAGTCGCCATTGCTTATTCCCTTAAAAATTGGAGAATTTGGGGAAAGTGTACCATCATGTATGTTAGTTTAACTTTTCTTTGATAGATTCAAATTTCATGTCTTAGTCAAAGTTGTCAGTAATGAAGCAATTTTTTTAGCTAGGCATGAGAAATTGATCCATAGAAATCTGTACTATCAAAGTCTTCACCCTCCTGGCAAGAGCTTGGTTTCATTTATGTTTTCAGCAGGAAGGCAACTGGTTTTCACAGGCAAGCAAAAGTAATTGAACTGAACTTCTCTATGAGAAATACTTTCCTCTGGATGGTCAAACCAGGCCACCACAATCATCCTCACAGCTGGTCAATTTACCTGGTGCTTGGCCCTTAAAGAAAGTGCTGCATGAAGGTAATTTAACTGGTAGGAAAAATACAAAAATTGACAACTTACGTTTCTTGGGCACATTACTCTCAATCAGCGTAAGCTCTGACGAGGATCTTGCACCACTGTAATTTAGCGTCACAACAGACTCCCGTGTCCGTGACGGGGCTGCAGACACGCCCACATTGCTGATGGAGGTTGACGATGGAGCCTTCATTTTAGATATTGAATTAGAGGATGAAGAAATCTTCATGAATGAAGGAAAATTGCTGTCTTCTTCCTGGAAACAAATACAAAATGCTAAGACACGATTCTATTTTTTGTGACATGATGCAACAATGTAACAATATTGTTTACTGCCAGTTAAAATGAAAGGCTCATTAACCTGTACCAGCATAACAGAGTTCTTAACTTTGTATTTTACATTACAAAATTTTGTCCAAAATGGCACTGTTTTGCATTACCTTGGGCAATAAAGACAACAACAACTTTGTTTACTCATACATAAATTAACAGTTTTCCAAGAAAATATGTATCAATAGAAGGACTGAAAAATAATGTAAATTTGAGTCAAGACTGAAGTAACCCAAATTCTAGTAAGTCTCCTGTTATTGTAGAGTATTAGAACTTTTATCCTTACAGACCTACTAGTGATCTCACAAAAACATTACTGCAAGGCTGTAGAACTCCCCTCCCAAATGGGCTATATTGTCTCACATTCTCCAAATTGGATTGGAACTATCTTGCAGTGGAGGCTCATAGAGGGGAATAAATCATTAAAAAGAGATTAATGTCATTTGCATTAACAAAGAATTCCCAGATTAGCCTCAGTAGCAAGTTAGTTTGAGTCCAATACCGAGAATAACAAAATGGTCTATTCTTGCATACAAATTCATGTACCTCATCAATTCCAAACACAACCATTTGGGCCGCTCGCTTGTCAACAGCAGATTGGTACTTTAAGGGCTCTGAGAGCTCATCAACAATGGCTATTGGTCAAAACGAAGGCCAAATTTGCAGTTAATATTAATCCTCTGAATAGCGTTAACTTTAATATTGTTACTTACTTTACAAGAGATAAATGGAGTAGTTACCAGGTAATAAAGGGTTACTAACCTGTAAATCTCTCTGGAATGTACGTCTTAAGGGAAATTTGACAAAATAATGTTGCCAATGGCAGTGGCATGTTGTGTTCTGTTCTCAGAGAAATATGCCGAAAACCTACAAAGCGAACAAAATATGAGCACTGATGACCTGAAAAAAGACTATTACAACAATCAGAAAAGTGTGAACACTTGTAATGATAATTATTTTGTAAAATGTTATTGTGCCACAAGAGAAAATCAATCAGATGTGAGAAGATTTGAAAAAACTTGAATTCTAGCTTGCCCTTCAGACAGGAAGCTCTCAAATTTTGCTTGCCCAGGGCAAGTCCTTAGCTTCTCTTTCTTATTTTCATTTGGCAGATGACTTGCCTGATCCCTTGCCCATTGGCCAAAGGAGAAGGAAAAGTTACTTGCCCGGTAGGAAAATCTACTTGTCCTAGACAACTGGACAGCACTTTTATTGAGCCCTGTGAGGAGAAACTTCAAACCTTATTGGCAATAATCCAGCCAGTGGTTTGATTTACCATAGCATTGGTTGTGGGACAAATAATATTGTCAAAATCATTTCAAAGTGCTCACATGTTTTCTTTTAGCACAAAATTATACATTTCCCATGCCATCTCNATTTTCCAACAAGGAGTCAAAATCTGTATTACAGAAACCAAAAAACTGCAAGCTAATGAAAAATTTGAAGAGTGGAAACCAAGAGAAAAAGCTATAGGAAGGTAGAAAAATCAAAAGAGAAAAAATTCACTGTTTACGTAATTGTAATTGTATCTGTAATTAAGTTCTTGATCGTGATTGGTTCTCTACACACCTCTTTGTCATGTAATCAGTGCAGGATCTAGTCGGTGTCCATTACAGGTATCCCATTACAACTTATTGAAACTGGATACCTGTATTGGATGCCTACGCCATTTGCCTGTCAATTACGCTTGTTTAATGGCTTCCTTCTTAATGTTTCTTTCAGTTTTGAAAGCTAATAGAGAGTGCTACTAACTTTTTTGCTCAAAGGAAATTCTCAAAAGAATTTTTCAATTTCAAAATTTGTTTACATACAATTTAGTAAAATTTAGTAATTGGACCTCACGTCATACAATTCAGGGAGCAATCATGCTGATTATTTCAAAATTGGCCTCCTGCTTTGAGCTCACCCGATTTTGAAATTACTTAATAAATGCGTGATTACTCCCCGAATTGCACTCCATTCAATCCAATTACTTAACTACTTACCAGCTCAGCCTGTTGCTCATAGAACCCAATTTCCTCCTCAACTTGTCTGTTTACCATATTTATCCACTCCTCTGTTTGGCTTGTTAATTTTTCCTTTGCCTGCAAATAGCAATATTCACATGTTGTTTTCTGCAAAGTGGATCACCACTTACATAAAAACAGCAAAGATGTAGATGTTTCAAATGCAAGAAATGTTGTAAGCTGCACAGTCACTTTTACTACCTTGTCAGTTTGGGTTTTGTTGAGATAAAGCATCTTGCTGTCATGAACTTTTCGCAATTCTTCAGATTTGTCTTCCCTGAAACAGACATACATTGTTAATTTGATCCACCTTTTAAGTTTATTTTCTTCCAAAACAGTGCCGATTATTAAACAACTGCATTAAAAAGTTCTACACTAATTCTATCTTCACTGATTTAAAATGCATACTAAACAGATTTACAAGACATTTTGTCATCTCTGTTTAGCTAATCCGTCAGGCCATTGTCAATGAAAATCTGGTGGCCTAAATAGAGGATATTACATGGCCACGCGGAGATGAAAAATTTATCTTCTCGTGTTGATAAATATTTCACAAGTTAGTGCAGCGCACGAGTGAAATATTTCTCAACATGAGAAGATAAATTTTGCATCTCCAAGCGACCATGTAATTTTCTTTTTATTATATAAAATATTCACAGTACATAACAATATTTGTGGCAATTTTCTGAAAATTTCGAAAGATTTTTCAAAATTGGTCAGAAGGCCAGACGAACAGTTCCGAACATTTCCGGTAGATTTCTGGACATTTTCCGAAGATTACCGAAAATTTCCGAAGATTGCCAAGGATGACCAAAGAAGATCAGAAGATGTTTCGATCATACACCAACAACTTTAAGTGTAGTTAAAGGGTCAGAAGATCATTATCAAAAAATGATATCTTCACAAGTGAGGATATCATATTGTTTTTATCAATTTGTTACCACTTGGTATACCACTGACTTTTACATAATAAAGCTTAATTCTTAATCAAAGTGTAAGAGTCACAAAAACAACTGAAATCCTTCTTTCACTGTTTAAAACTTATCATTGATTCATTGTTCTGAGAGCAGTCTATCACCATCTCCATTTATTTCAGTTAACTTCAATAGGTTGTGGGTAACAGTTTGGTAACCTTAAGCCTGTTAACCAAAACCTGGAGTTAAGAGGGGAGGGCAGAGGAAGTAGGAGAGAAAAGTATAGGAAACAGGACATACTGGCCATCCCCTTCCCCATGGTAGTACCACTCACCCACATCGTTTGACTGCACGCTCAAATGTTTTTATAGCTGTGGTTTTTATCTTCTCGTAGTTTGTTATCAGCTTTTCCAGTTGTCCAGTATGAACTCTCTGCATGGCCAAACGTTCCTGAAAAAATACAACATAAAATCATTGTAAAAGTAAAATAAATAAATAAATAAATTACAATATTTAGAGAGGAAGCCACATCAACCTTAGCTGGTTTTCAGGCGGGTCCTCTATCCTGGTCAAATTGGAATTTGGAGATGTTGCTTTTTGTGGCGGCAAGAAATCCGGGGAACCCCGAGAAATTTAACTCTCGGAGCAAGGCGAGAACCAACAACAAACTCAACCCACATGTGGCACTGGGCAGGAATTGAACCCAGGGCGTATTGCCGGGAAGCAAGTGCTCTCTCGACTGTGCCATCCCTGCTCCTTGCGCTCTATATAAATTCTTTCCCCACTGAAGACACAACTGGAAAAGTTCCTGATGACATCAGTTAATGGTCTACAATTGAGCTATTGCTTGGTTTTATGGACGCAAGAAAAAATTTAAAGTAGTATGTACTTACTTTTGTGTATCTCTTCAAAAGTGCTTCGTTTTCTTTCTGATGTCTTTTAAAGACCTTTAAAAATGTCTGCAATTGGAAAAAAATCATCATTGCTGGCACCAGTGAACATTCAGTAGAACTTCAATAATTGTATGCAACATTGATGAACAAATTTTGCTATTTTGTTGGTGAGAATGGTCCTCAAATGAGAATATGATTAACTGAGATTTTCTCTGGCCAAACATTGGTGAGGCACATAGTGATAAACTTTGTCATCACAGGAAATTAATTAGTACACTATAAATAACTACACAATTTTCAAGGAAGATTTTAAAAGCTTGGGGATACAACGTTTTGTCATCTGCAGTGAGTTACCTTGTCTTTCTTCAATTCTTCCACAATAACTGGAGAAAATTTGAAGTCGTCTAAACAGAGAAAGGAATGAAGTTATAAATAACCAAAAGTGCAAAGGAAAGCATATTAAGGGAGCTCCTGTCATAACATTTTTAGCAAATATCAGTCACAAGATCCTCATGTTGATGAACACTGAAATCTGAATCTGAATCTAAATCACTGTTGTATTAATAAATTTGCTTTAATTATTCACGTAGGATAATAATACACCTGCCAACTAGTGCAGTCGCCATTGCTTATTCCCTTAAAAATTGGAGAATTTGGGGAAAGTGTACCATCATGTATGTTAGTTTAACTTTTCTTTGATAGATTCAAATTTCATGTCTTAGTCAAAGTTGTCAGTAATGAAGCAATTTTTTTAGCTAGGCATGAGAAATTGATCCATAGAAATCTGTACTATCAAAGTCTTCACCCTCCTGGCAAGAGCTTGGTTTCATTTATGTTTTCAGCAGGAAGGCAACTGGTTTTCACAGGCAAGCAAAAGTAATTGAACTGAACTTCTCTATGAGAAATACTTTCCTCTGGATGGTCAAACCAGGCCACCACAATCATCCTCACAGCTGGTCAATTTACCTGGTGCTTGGCCCTTAAAGAAAGTGCTGCATGAAGGTAATTTAACTGGTAGGAAAAATACAAAAATTGACAACTTACGTTTCTTGGGCACATTACTCTCAATCAGCGTAAGCTCTGACGAGGATCTTGCACCACTGTAATTTAGCGTCACAACAGACTCCCGTGTCCGTGACGGGGCTGCAGACACGCCCACATTGCTGATGGAGGTTGACGATGGAGCCTTCATTTTAGATATTGAATTAGAGGATGAAGAAATCTTCATGAATGAAGGAAAATTGCTGTCTTCTTCCTGGAAACAAATACAAAATGCTAAGACACGATTCTATTTTTTGTGACATGATGCAACAATGTAACAATATTGTTTACTGCCAGTTAAAATGAAAGGCTCATTAACCTGTACCAGCATAACAGAGTTCTTAACTTTGTATTTTACATTACAAAATTTTGTCCAAAATGGCACTGTTTTGCATTACCTTGGGCAATAAAGACAACAACAACTTTGTTTACTCATACATAAATTAACAGTTTTCCAAGAAAATATGTATCAATAGAAGGACTGAAAAATAATGTAAATTTGAGTCAAGACTGAAGTAACCCAAATTCTAGTAAGTCTCCTGTTATTGTAGAGTATTAGAACTTTTATCCTTACAGACCTACTAGTGATCTCACAAAAACATTACTGCAAGGCTGTAGAACTCCCCTCCCAAATGGGCTATATTGTCTCACATTCTCCAAATTGGATTGGAACTATCTTGCAGTGGAGGCTCATAGAGGGGAATAAATCATTAAAAAGAGATTAATGTCATTTGCATTAACAAAGAATTCCCAGATTAGCCTCAGTAGCAAGTTAGTTTGAGTCCAATACCGAGAATAACAAAATGGTCTATTCTTGCATACAAATTCATGTACCTCATCAATTCCAAACACAACCATTTGGGCCGCTCGCTTGTCAACAGCAGATTGGTACTTTAAGGGCTCTGAGAGCTCATCAACAATGGCTATTGGTCAAAACGAAGGCCAAATTTGCAGTTAATATTAATCCTCTGAATAGCGTTAACTTTAATATTGTTACTTACTTTACAAGAGATAAATGGAGTAGTTACCAGGTAATAAAGGGTTACTAACCTGTAAATCTCTCTGGAATGTACGTCTTAAGGGAAATTTGACAAAATAATGTTGCCAATGGCAGTGGCATGTTGTGTTCTGTTCTCAGAGAAATATGCCGAAAACCTACAAAGCGAACAAAATATGAGCACTGATGACCTGAAAAAAGACTATTACAACAATCAGAAAAGTGTGAACACTTGTAATGATAATTATTTTGTAAAATGTTATTGTGCCACAAGAGAAAATCAATCAGATGTGAGAAGATTTGAAAAAACTTGAATTCTAGCTTGCCCTTCAGACAGGAAGCTCTCAAATTTTGCTTGCCCAGGGCAAGTCCTTAGCTTCTCTTTCTTATTTTCATTTGGCAGATGACTTGCCTGATCCCTTGCCCATTGGCCAAAGGAGAAGGAAAAGTTACTTGCCCGGTAGGAAAATCTACTTGTCCTAGACAACTGGACAGCACTTTTATTGAGCCCTGTGAGGAGAAACTTCAAACCTTATTGGCAATAATCCAGCCAGTGGTTTGATTTACCATAGCATTGGTTGTGGGACAAATAATATTGTCAAAATCATTTCAAAGTGCTCACATGTTTTCTTTTAGCACAAAATTATACATTTCCCATGCCATCTCAGGTATAACTGGATACAAACAAACAAATATTTACAACAGCTCTCATGAACACTTTCAACATTAATTTTTTGCAGCCAACACAATTTCTTGATACATCGTTTGATATATCATGGCCACATTAGTCACTGACCACAAATGAGATTCTCTATACAGGTCTTTCCTACAAATACGTATGACCTACCAGACTGTAAACCATCTAATGGAACGACCCGCTGAGCGATGAGTTTATCATTGTCATCTACAACACCAAATCTCAGGAGAGCAAGGTCTGGAAAGACAACCTGGTGAGACAGAAATAAATTAATACATTTTCACACACATTTCATGTATAATTGTTTCTATAACAGAATTCTCGATCATGACTGGTTCTCTGGGTGCTGATTTGTCACGTTAACAGTGCACGATCACATGGATGTCTAATTACAGGTATCTAATTTTAACTTTAATTTGCAATTGGATACCTGTAATTGGACCCACCCAGCAGAAGTTGTAACCTTATAATTTCAAAATTTGTTATTGAATGATATGATTAGTAATTGGACCTCGTGTCATGCAATTCAGGGAGTATTTCCTGCTCATAATTTCAAATTGGCCTCTCGCTACATACTCTACCGATTTTGAATTGAATCTATCTAATACAAACTTTACACCTTAGAGGAGTGTTCATTAGGTACGAGGCATGTATTTGAGAGTGAGCGTTTATTAGCTCATTCACAGTGTATGTATTTACCCGTCTAAACACAAATTCTTCCTCCTCATAGACAGGATCCATTCCATTGTTTGGAACATACTTTGTCTTGTACTTCTTGCGTAACGTGTCAGTTGGAAGACCATACATGTCCACCTCCACACAAGTGCTTATCCTCTTGTCAGACAAGAACTGCCCTGAAATCACCTTCAAATACACAGACAAAATCAAGTCACAATATTATTATTACTAATAATTGCTCATGCCATACACAAGTCAAAACCCCTTCCGGAACAAATCAGTGGAAGAAATTATAAACAAAGGTATTAGTTTCTAATGAAACTGTTGGGCTGTATCAGCGGGTAAGTGAAACATTTAGCTATTTAATGTCAACTTGAAGTTGATAAAGGTATATTGACCGCAGTAGTGAGCTAGTTAAGCTAATGTTTCAAGCATTAGCCCTAACTGCTCACAATGTAAGTTTCACATTTGGGGAGCAAGTTGTAATGAAACTTTAAAAGAAGAGGTGGCGAATGGTCCTTCAAAAGTCATGAGTACCACAAAAATTTGTGTCTCCCAGACATTTTTAGCGGTTATGTGTGGGCAGTGGCTAGACCTTGCTTGGTGCCGGTCTAGAATGGAACAATAAGGCACCTCCTTTCTGCCACGTCTCACAGTCTCAATTTTTTTCAGAAAGCTGTTTCACACTCACAATTTTTGCAAAGCTAAGAAAGTCTTGAAGTACCAGTTTGTTTGTTTGCTTTTTACCAAATGACATCTGAATGTCCAAGAACCTGAACATCTTGAGCCCGCATTTAAAACACTTTGAAGCCTTGGTCTCACAATTGAAGAAGTAAAAATCTCTCGGGCTCACAGAGAAAAATGCTTGTTTCACAAAGTCTCATATTTACCATTCACAACCCCTAAAAGAAGATAATAACTTTTCATGTAAGGGTGATGCTCACCTTGACAGTAACTGAGGCAGCAACCATTCCATCAATTACAGTTTCAGTAAATGGGTCGAACTGCCGATCAGTTCGACACATCAGATCCGGCTTGAGGAGGTACCTGAAAATTGCCAAAATGACAATGACATCTGAGAAATACGTCTACATTCCTCTACAGTACAAAAAAGAATCCTGTGTACGGCAAAAACTGTTCATTAATTATACAATTTAGAGAATCAAGCTCTCCTTAACCAATCAGACTCCAGGATTAACATTTTTCAATGACGTAAATTTCAGTCAGAATTCTGCTAAAACAATTAATTACCTTTGGCTGAATCAGCTATCACCTCATAGAAATTAAGAGCGAATAATGTAATTGTTAAATAGTATTTCATGTACTGTAATGAGAAAAAAATCTGACCAAGAGCTACATACCCACATCTTTTATTGTATTCAAATTTTCCATCATTCAGTTGAAAAGCTAAGTCTGTGGAGGTCAAAAGGTTCATACATTTTTTTCTTTTCACTAACATCTCTCAATTAGTTTAGATATTGATAGTAGTAGAATATACACTGACATCAACTGCAATAATATTATTTTGATTTAATATTATCATAGTCATTCCTGATACCCTCCATTTCATACAATAAGTCAAATTATTCATGTATACTTATCATCTATTGGGGGACAGACAGTCATAGATGGGGTCCTTAACATTCTTTTTTGTGTCTTTATTATGTAAAACAAACGCAGTGTAGATTCCATGTTGCCGTGTGTCTGTTCAGGGATAGATCAGAGAAGACCTCAAAATGTGGTAAGAACATGTATCAGTGACTTGGCCTTCACCTAGCATACCACGTTTTTGTTCTTACTGCATTTCGAGACCATCTTTAATCTATTACTGAACAGACACATGGAAAAATGGAATCTATTAGTTTTGATAAGGACAATTCACAGTTTTGTTGATACCTGAAGTTTGAAAGTTGAGTGAAACCATTTGGCAACCAACATTCCAGAACACCTAGTAATGGAAGGTGAAAATACCATGAGAATGAAAATAGAAATATTGGGTGATTTCCATTATCCCAGAACAACCAGTCAGACACCAGCAGGACTAACCAAGCAAAATGGAAAGACATTTCCAATTAAACCAGTGCAACCGAGAGGAGTGGCTATTGTCATTTTCTATTTCTTTTTCCAATCCCACACGTAAGTGAAAATCTACTGAAGAGAAAAAGGGCAAACCAGTTTGTCAAAGTGGAACGATGAATACCATGCTGACTATTCTGACCAATCCGACCAATCAAAGAGGACCACCTCCAAAAGAGGTCCCAATTATTCCAGTCAGAACAAACTGAATCAGACCTTTCCATTTGACTTTCGAACGAGATTTACGGAATGTTCAGCATAATGGAGAGCACCCATTGTTCATCAATGACTAGTTGCATCTAAGAAATAGAAAACAGTTCTTATGACATTCCCCAGCCATTCCCAAGTCACAAACTCGAAACAAAATAGAAACTGGAACCATATCGGTCTTACCTGTGGCATGTAATTGCTTGAATCAACTCTACTTCCTTTGGGATAAATCCTAGACAGTTGCCGTTTGTTATATCTAAATTAACAGTCAAGATTTTTTTCAAAATACAAATTTTTCCATCTATTTAGTACTTTTTTCATCAACACGGAAAAGTGATTAAATTACTGGTACATATTTTTACACCTGTTTGGCGTGATGATGGAATACATTTTGAGTATTTAATTTTATTTATTTTTGGGCTTTTTTTCACGCACTGCTTCTTAGAGTTGACATACTCTCCCAGGTTTTGATTTTCTGATTGCCTTAGGCTAAAATCTCCATAAGGGATTTAAAAATCTCAGTCATACACCAGTCCCGAATCTCAAAATTCTATGGCTGTTGTGGAGCAGCCATATGGGGGTTGAGTTGGTTGTTGGTTCTTGCCATGCTCTGAGAGTTAAATTTCTCAGGGTTCCCCGGATTTCTTCCCTCCACAAAAAGCAACATCTCCAAATTCCAATTCGTCCAGGAGAGAGGACCCGCATGAAAACAACCAAAGGCTGATGTGGCTTCCTCTCTATACATATCGTAAATTTATTTATTTATTTTCTATTATTAAAACATTTTATATATTTATTTTAGGAGATATCCTAAATCAACTTCCACAAAAGGATACTTCACAAACTCTACTGGACTTGCTTTCAACAAACCAAAACCTGTTGACTCATTGAATGAAGAGATTTGATAGGACAAGTTCTTTTCTGCAAAAACAAACGTCAAAATGCTAAGAGCTGTGTGATTTACAAATTGTAATGCATTGACAGTGGAAAAGAATACATTTGTAAAACAGTTTTAGCACTTAACAGCAGGCCCAATGAACACATCAACATTGTATGATCAAAAACTACTACAGTTTGGGAAGACCTAAAAGAAACAGGCCATGCTTAACCCATTGACTCCCAGAGCTTTACATCAAAAATGCAATTTTGGAAATTTTGGAGATTTTCACCCTTGATATGAGCCAAATTAGCTCCAACCTATTCAAAAAGACATTTGCAACATGACAACATGCCTTTTTTTTAACAATAGCGTCACGTTTTAGGAGATTTTTGCTCAGGCATGAGCAGAAATCAAAATTTGGAGATTCTGATTTCAAAATGTCATCAAAATGTGAATTCTCTTTGAAGGTGCCATCATTACGTCAACAGCTCATGCTTGTTCTGCGTTTCAATCAAATTCTGAAATAGCTTCTGACAGGAAATTATCATTTATCAAGCTGAACATTTTTAATCAGACTCACTAGACTACTGAGGCTAATTTCACTTTCCCAACATGCCACTGAACTTCTATTTTCACTTGCCCAAGAGCAAAATTTACTTGCCCCAGGCAGTCGGACTCAGATTTTTTCCTGCCCTGTGAGATTATCATTAACACAATTTGAACTTACTCTCTGCTTCGTCAAATCCACTGAATGACACAGGATGAATATAATTCACCAGGGACGACAAGTAGGGATGGATACTTCCTGCAGTTGTGGTAGAACTGTATTGACTAAGGAATTCCATATCCTCGGGAGTGAGGCTAGCAGCTCTTGACGTCTTTGAAAAAACATCCAATAATTACAAATTAAAAAATTACTAATACCAGTAGTTACATTAGGTTTTGTTAAACATTTGAGAATGAAAATTGAAGATAGTAAAACTGAACAACATTTCTATGACTCCACACCATCATAAACAAGTGCAAAGTACATGATGGAATTGACTATTAATAATGTAAACTGCTGCTTACACCACCTCCCCCCCCCCCTTCCCCCACTTTTACATCCCCAGTTATAGGTCCATCTGTCTGTAAACCAAAAAGTACATCCAGTTATAAACCTCCCTCTAGCTTTCCTTGTTTTGAATTTGTTTTATTATGATGTTTGAAAGCTTAATTACCAGTTTAAATGAAAAACCTTTTTCGATCAACATGTCCAGTTACACGTATGTAGCTCATTTCAAAAAGCTCTTTTATTCCAGTTATAAGCCTGATCGAATACAAGCCCAATCAAACTTGTTTTTGTAAGAAAAATGTCACATAAGGACTCATTCTAAAACAGAGAAAAAAGACAATGCAACTTGGAAAAGGCCAAGCTATACCCAGGGGGACTCCCATATAAAAAAGAAGGGGGTGCTCGTCATACCTTTTAGGGGTTAAAAAATGGTTTTGTTACCTCTTTGGGTGTCCCTACTCAAAAGGTCCACAGCAGGAGCTTTTGCAGCACTTTTTTGGGTATTGAGCCAAAAAACTACAACAGGAGATAATGTGTGGTTTTAGAACTGGTACCTTTTAGGGGTGAAAAAAATTTCATGCCACGCCCACAAAACAGGATCTTGGTACCTCTTAGGGGTTCTTTTCAAAATTTCCAATGAGCACCCCTGTCCTTTTGTGTGGGAGGCACCCCGAGGGCTATACGTGTCACACACCTTCTTTCCCCCCATGTTTAACCTCAGTGAACTCCCAAAGCTTGCTAGTTTTTCTTCTCGCTTCTTAAACTCACTGATGGAGTCTCTTTCCTCATCGTCTTCAGGATTAGACTCCACACTCTGGGTACTCGCATTGCTTTCTTTTCTCCCATACACAAATTTTGGGTCGTACGAGTCTCTGCTGCTTCTTGAAGAAGCTCCAGAATTTGTTCCTTGCACTGAAGGATGTGTCCGTTTACTGTCCACTTTGCCGTTGCATTGGATAACAGAGGAATTGATTTTTCCATTCGGTTGGTCATTGTTTTCAGACTCTAAATCAGTGAACAACTTTCTTGTGTCGGACTTTAATGAACTATCATCAGAATCCTCAGCGTTCACAGGACAATCATTTTCAGTTGCGTCAGAAACCTCTTGTATGGACTCAAGGCCACCATTGTTTCTGTATGGTTTCTGAACAGCCGCAACTTCCTTAGTACTAGTTTCTTCTTTGGTTGTGGGAAACTCGTAACATGTTTCTCCACTGTCTGTCACGGTAACTGTAGGCGTGACAGAAAGACTGTCACTGTCTGTGGAAGCATCAGAGGCCGCGCTCAAAGTCGAACCTAGTGAAATTCCTGATGTGCGAGTTCCAGGATGAAAGTTTACATCCTCACTAGTTCTTGATGAGCGTGAACTACTTTCAGAACTACAATTGTCCGCAAGCATCTCAATACCTTGCATTTCAAGAAAGTTTCTACTGTTCCGAGACAACACAAAGGAGTTTTCCATATCCTTTGACACGCCATTCAAACCTGCTTCATTCAAAATCTTTGACAGAAGAAAATTCGAGTACTCTGACACAGAGCTATATTGAGCTATGTCGTCAAGTGTGACTTCCTTGTCATCAGGCGAAGATTCTTCTGCCGCAGTTGAGGTAGATTCTCGTAAAAGATCATTGCACACTTTCTCACTGTATGCCATGATTTTGTTGAACTCCTCACAACTTAAAGATCGTTCACGAGAATCACTTTCATTATCACTTTCCTGAACTTCGTCCTCCTCCTCAATCTCGTCATCAATGATTGCTGTTTCCTTTATGCTTCCACGATGAAATCCTGTAGTGGATGAATGAATAATTATAAAATATTAATCTTAATCAATAATTCTTATCTATGAAGAACAGACCTTTTTTACAATATTCTTGTAGAACAGGTTTAAGGGTTTTTTTTAATTAGGTTTTTTTTAGTTTTTAGTATTTAACAATACTTTGTAAGGTGCATTCCATCATATAAATGAAATTTGCCATATAAAAATTTCAAAAATTGTTAAGTTCAGTTCTGCACTTTTAATCTGTTAAACATTGTGTTCCTGCTAGTAAAATAATCAAAAACATACCTGAAGTATCTGTAGCTTCAAAATCACTAAAAATTTCACTGTAATCTAAAAGAAACAAAATTTAGGTAATAAAAATTACACAAATGAGCATATGTAAAATCATATATTTGAACTGCAGAGGAAGATGAATGGTCATTGCAGTGTAAACACACAAATTAAGCAGCTGTGAAATTAAATAATTTTTTGAATCTTTTTTTCACAACTGCTAAATAAATTGAGTATATTACAGCGACGCACTTGCCACTGTCACCAAAATTATTGTTTTCGCCACATTCATCAAGTTTTTGGGGCTCTTCTGAGCCTGTTATGTGTATTCACTTGATGTAAAACTTTGTCAACAAACCTGGCAAAAATTTTGTCACATTCGCTACTTCCCCCAAATTCGTCATTTTTGCCACATTCGTCAACTGTTTGGGGCTCTTCTAAGTATGTTATGTGTATTCATCCATTAAGTTGGTCAGCAGGTTTGGCAAAATGTCCTCAGATTTGCCTTTTGACAAAATTTCCATAGTTTGGCTGATTTTGTCAAATCCACCAATATCATCGGCAATATTTTTTCCAATCTGCCATTTTTGTTACTGCATGCATATAAGCACATATCTCATTTTCTTTTAGGTGACTATCATAAGGGGACTCTATAGTTACATAAAAATTTAGGGAACATCCATGGTTGTCACTCAGCACCGACTGCCAGTGAAATTCGCTGGCTGAGGAAGAGGTGATCAGTGGCTGAAGTTNAGAACAGGTTTAAGGGTTTTTTTTAATTAGGTTTTTTTTAGTTTTTAGTATTTAACAATACTTTGTAAGGTGCATTCCATCATATAAATGAAATTTGCCATATAAAAATTTCAAAAATTGCTAAGTTCAGTTCTGCACTTTCAATCTGTTGAACATTGTGTTCCTGCTAGAAAAATAATCAAAAACATACCTGAAGTATCTGTAGCTTCAAAATCACTAAAAATGTCACTGTAATCTAAAAGAAACAAAATTTGGGTAATAAATATTACACAGATGAACATATGTAAAATCATATATTTGAACTGCAGAGAAAGATGAATGGTCATTGCAGTGTAAACACACAAATTAAGCAGCTGAGAAATTAAATAATTTTTTGAATTTTTTTTCACAACTGCTAAATAAGTTGAGTATATTACGGTGATGCACTTGCCACCGTCACCAAAATTATTGTTTTTGCCACATTCATCAAGTTTTTGCGGCTCTTCTAAGCCTGTTATGTGTATTCACTTGACGTAAACTTTTGTCAACAAACCTGGCAAAAAATTTTGTCACATTTGCTACTTCCCCCAAATTCGTCATTTTTGCACATTCGTCAACTGTNATAGATTAGTTTGGCAGCTTTTAAGTGTAAATGTTCCAATACTTTAAAGGTAGATGGTGAGCAGGATCCCCAAATAGCAATGCAATAAGTGATGCTTGGGACAATCCCTTTGAAATATATTTCTTCTAGTACACTTGAGGGAAGGCCTTTAAACTTTTTCAGGAATTTCAGCTTTCCTCCAAACTTAATGTGCAGTGCTTTTACTTGTGGTTTCCAGTTCAGTTTATAGTCAATTTCAATGCCCAAGCAAGTGGATTTAGTGTTGAAGTAAATGTAAGAATCTCCGAACATTAGAGGTCTCATTGGACCAACAAAAGCATGGCTGGAGATCAACATTGCCACGGTCCTGCCAGCGTGAACAGTGAAATGATTCTTACAGCACCACACTTTGAAGTCCTTTAAGATTAGGTTTAACGCATCAACAATTTCTTCGACTTCTTCCCCAATATAATAGATAATAGTGTCATCTGCGAACATATGAATACATCCAGTTTCGGATGTATTCATATGTTCACAGACGACACTACTATCTATTATATTGGGGTCTTCTCCTTCCGTGTACTGTGTCCGCCAAATGCAACGTTTGGTAGCCCTGTAAAGCATTGCGAAAGATCGGGGACAAAAATTTTGTTCCAGGTCTCTCACGAAAAATGATGACTGGCTCAATGAAAATCTTAGCTGGGAAACTATTTTCTTAGCAACAACCCTGAGACCTATGGGAGAATTACGAAGACAAGCACCATCCATGAGGGGACTAACTGTATCTAAATGAAATGTGAAACATTCCTTGTTCTCACCTTCTTCCTGTTCTGGTTTGAGTTTCTTGTTCTTTATGATTATCCTTCTCTTTAGATGGCTTGGTGATGGCAGAGGTCTGCCTTCTTCAAGCTTAATGGAAAAAAGGATGGAAACTCATAAGGGGAGTTAGATATTAAACCCTGCAAGATAAGTCACCTTGCCCCTCCAGGGCTCAAAAAAATGCTGTCCACTCATCCAGGACAAGTACACTTTCCTGCCGGGCAAGTTACTTTTCATTAGCACTTGCCTGATGGGCAAGGGCCAAGTCAAATCATAAATTATGCCAACTTCATCAAGAGTGTAACTTGAACTTTGCTACAGCTGTGAAAGCCATATTGGTCAGCAGAATCAACAAGACAAAATAGGAAGCGAGGGAAGGAATGAAGGAAGGATCGAGTGAATCTCCCATCCATACCTGCAACTTAGATTTTCCAAGTTAAAAAGAAATCAGACTTTCTCAGGGCAAGCACAATTTGTGATCTACTTGTCCAATGGGCAAGCTGGAATTTGAGGTTTGTTCCAGCTCTGCCCTCAAACCAAAGGCTGGGTGAGAGAATGGCAGTGCAGGAATAGTGCCTTGTGAGTGATGTAACATAAAATAAACTCACTGGATGACTGTCCAAAGGCAGTTTCAGAAGCATGTCACCAAAGATGTCAGAACAATAGAGAGCCATCTTGTACTGCTGTGACTTACTGCAAATATAACATAAAGGAAAATTTGCAACTATCATGAATATTAAGGTATCAATGATCATCACAGTTATATACACAACTTAAAGGAGCTACATCTCGGTTTGCACATTTTTAAAAGTTTAGCCTCAATATTTCAAATTTGGCATTTGCAATCCCCCTCCCCTCCATCCTTAGCCATCCTTGTTCCTTTATGGTTTATCATTATTTCTTTGGTGTTTTTCTATCTTATTAAACTGTTATTTTCAGGTTTCCTACCATTTAAAGGTAATTTTGTGTGTGGCCAAAATAACTCAAAATACAGTGAGTGAGCTCCTTTAAGCAGCTGTGAAATTAAAGCCTGAAAAAAATTCAGGCCTCAACAGGATTCACACCCACGACCTCTGCAATACCAGTAGAGTGCTCTACTGGTAGAGTACTGTACCATTGTGTATATAACTGCGATGATCATTGATATCTTCATATCTTTCTCCACAGTTCAAATATGTGATCTTTCATATATTCACTTGTATCATGAATATTATCTCTCACCAAAAGTATGATAAATGAATAAATCCCAGGGGTTTCATTAAGGGACCAGGGACAGCACAAGAGATCAGTTTCAATATTTCTCGCATCTCCTTCACCATCATAAACAAAGCACCAATACCTTCATTAAGCAAAACAAAACAAAAAATTAAAAAAAAAACATTACCTGCAGTGATTCTCAAAGGACAGTATCACAGGGTACTCTGATGTCACAAAGGCTGAGTCACGTATCGCTTCTATCACATCCTGGAATTGTCAAGAACAGTAGTATTAATCACTTGGCTCCTATGTGGATTATTTGAATCGCATGCAGTCTTACTAACTAAAGGCTATGTTCACACTTGCTGTGTGAGTACAATTGTTACTGCTCACTAATGTAAACACACCTTTTTTCCAAGTACTCACACCAGAATTCTTGGACAGAGCTCATGCTTAGGTTCAATGTGTCGACCTTGTAGTCGAGCACTTAATGGTAGTTGGGTACTTGGAGTACCCAGTGTCTGAACGCAACACTATTTTGTGCCGGCGCCCATACCAGACACCAGTGCTCAGGCATCAAGAAAAGAGTTGAACTCCCACAGGATTGTTTTGGAACACCATTATGGCTGTCATGACGTTATGTGAAAATACTCTGTAGTGTCCTTTCAGTCAGACATAGCTCTTATTGGAGTTCCTGTGGGTGTTCTGTTCTAAATCAGCAGCTATAACATTAGCAGTTTTCAAAATTGGTATATAATAAACTGTTTTGGACTCCTCTCAACAGGTGCCACACCAAAGCAGCCACCTATTTTAGATCTTATTGAAAGCACTGTATGCATTTACATGTACCTAACACATAGCCCTGTAGAGTCTGCACATATAACATTATTTTATAACACAAGGGGAAGGTGCAAAGACCTATTAATGACAGTTTGCTGGGCTCCTGATTGAGCAGTCCAGGGTCATTGTGTGGTGTCCTTCAGCGAGATGCTCAACTCTCACAGCATCATCCTTCACTCACAACAACACGTGTAGGGTATTACTAATGTAAAAAATAATTTAATCTGACACTTGCCTTGAACATGATGTTAGTACACATTGCTTTACCGTGTGTTATAATGGGTTCATCACCAGGTCCGTCCCAGCAATCCAGCTCAATGCACCTTAAATACGAAACAACTCAAGTAAGGAAAACCATTTTATCTCTACCACACATTATTAATTTCTTGAAGTGTCTGCTTATTGCAGGGTTTGTGCAACACAATGGCTTAATATTGGTGTCTGTGTCCGCTTAACAGAGGTGTCTGCTGAATGCAGGTTTATTTTACAGTAAATGTGGGAAGAAAATTNTTTGTTTTTTTTTTTTTTTCAGGCTTCTTCTTTCCAGTTGCTTAAATTGGAAAATTTACTGCGATGATCACACTTCACTTTCATCTACTACTGCAGTTCAAATATGAATTATTTCATATATACTTCACACAAGTTTCACTGTAACACGATATAGAATACTTAGGTCAAAAGTTAATGGGATGTGAGATACTCAGACCTCCTTAATGGAAGTGTCAAAAGTAATGATCTGATCTTTAATTTGTTTTACTTTGGGCACCTTACCGACAGCCTGCCAGCAGACATTGTCTATACATCTCCACTGAGGACTTGCCACCAAACTGGCGCCCTACCAAAGTCGAGAAAACAAGCCTTTTTAACTTCTCTATGGCAAAGTGATAAAATTGTCATAATAGTATTAATGAAGTGAGACATTAGCAACTCACCCACAAGGTATGTGTTGTGTGACGAGTTAATGAAGTAGTGAGAGAGAGGCTGAGTCATGTCTTGATAAATTTCCACTCTGTTTGGCATCATGAGAAGATTGTCCTCACTCAACAGATATCTCGTCAGTCCATTAACAGTGATACGATCTGTCAAAATACCAGATTACTTAATTTAACATGATCAAAATCCATATGTTTACAATCAAGATGGGAGACAACGATGAAAGGAGTTCATATCAGGGGTTTCATAAGGTTTTCAACAGGACGGCAATTGGTTTTCAAATGAAAGTAAAACCTTAGGAGCTGAACTTCTTTATGTATGAAAAGAATGACAAAACCGGGTAGGCAAAATAATTCTTGCAACTGGTCAATTTGCCTAGTGCCCTGCCATTAGTAGAATCCTCTGTAGACCTGATCATACTTGAAGAACCTGTGGAAGGTGTGGAACTGAATAAAGCAACAAGCTTGTTATGGGTGTGAAGATCAAGGCTACAAGGCTGTTTACAATTCAACATAACATTTGAGACGGCACACTGCGTGATAAAATTCTCAGAATTGGAATAAAAACAAAACCGATAACAAAGCTTTTTTGCGTAGTATTGTGTGGCAGTATAACAAAATAACTTGTCCCATATCTGGCCACAAATTTTCAGTTAAAATATTTTTCATTTTAGCAGAAATGCCCAGTCGGAGTGTCTGACCAGGCTAAGCTTTTACCTGTCAAAAACTCAAATTTACCAGACAATCATCCGATGACCGACTGTTACTTGCAGGCTTGCAAACGCCTTTCAATAAAGTCAAGAAAGAATCATTATCACTGTAAGTTGCAAGCGTCCTCTCTACTTCAATACCTCTTCGAAGATTGTCCAGGGATTTCTCGTATTTCCAGATCAGTGACAGGGCCTTCTCTTTGTTGTAGTACGGATAAAGTATCTCGTTCAGCCGAGGATCCCTCTGTTCCTGGTTCAGGAAATTCATCAGCTGATTTACATTAAGGAAAGGTGTTTTACCTCCACCCCTGCAAACGAATTGTTCGAAGGACAATTAATAGCTGAATTTATTTCATACACTTAAACAGGCTATAACAGGGAAAAGGACAAAAAAACCCAGTGATCCACACAAGGTACTGTATGTAGTCAGCAACACTGAGAACATATGCATGTGCATATGCGCCATGATTCCAAGTGCTCTCAGGAGAAAAGTATCAGTAATAATAATAATTATAATAATAATAATAATAATAACAATAATAATAATAATAATAATAATGTTTTTTGGCACATTTAAAAAAACTCAATGCGCTTACATTACTATGAAAAATAAATTAGTTAATTCCTAACTGAAAATAGCGTGTGTTTTTTTGTCTGATTATGTTGAACGTGTCCCGAATACTAAGACCTGATAATTTTCTCCCACTCCACCTGCCCCTGTCCATCCCTCCCTTTTTTCCCACTGCTTATGGGGCTCTTTACAGGTTTGCCAGGATTTGCCAACCATGAGGCATTCCTCACTTTCCAGAATGTTTAAACCTGACAGTTTTCTCCCATTCCACCTCTGCATTACCCCCCCCCCCCCCACTTCTCTTCAGTGCCTATGGCCATTGGCAAGGGGGGGTGGTGACTCTTTGCAAGCTTGCCAGGATTTGCCAGGCATGAAACATTTCTCACTCTAGGAGATGGCTGAGCCAAAGTGGAAGTTACTGGATCTCCCAACCATCCAACACCCATTAATTTCAACAATTAACAATACTTTACACAACCTCAGAAGTGTAGCAGTTCTCATAAGCTTGTAACTCTTATTTGTCGTCATTGCAGCAACTATTGTTGTTTTGGGGCTAGGGGGCACTGTTTCTGTTGTTTGTTCTACTGTCCTCTGAAAGGGTATCAAGCCATTCATGTCATTCATTCATGAGAGCTGCTACATGACCCAACAACCTAAGGAAAAGGCCAAACCATACATGCAGAATGCAGACAATTAGGGAATGCTTCTTTCCGCCTTACCATTTGAAACAAAGGTGCTCAATTTCTAGCCTGCCACACACTTTCAAGTAGAGTTGGTAGAACTGCTCAAAGTTGAAATTTTCACAATCCAGTTCATCCATCTGATGGATAAAAAAACAAAGTACTTCACATGCATCAACTGCAAGACAACATCCTCCCCCTCCTTCTCTTTGTCCCATGAAACATGTGTCCTGGGGGGATACTCTGTAACTCTTTGGGTGGGGGTGTACCACTGGGACACTGAAATCCTTGGCCATACTAAACCATAATCAGCTCAATTTTGCATCCCTATTCAAGACTAGGCACCAAAAACCCCTATCGTATCCCAGACTAGCTATTTTCCAAGCAGAAACTTTATCACTGTCATAGTCCAACATGCACTAACTAAACCAATATCTTACAAAGTCACTTCCGAGTTTCATTTTCTATTATACAATCGCAAGTAAAGATATACACTAGCCACCTTCACAGTAAATTAAACCCTATCCTAGACTAAACTACCTGAAAACCATACCCTCCACAGCAGCAAAAACCTATATAGCTCATATATGGAAGTAATCCCTACCCCCGGCAGGAGAGGATGTCAAGACTTCAAAGGTGCAAGACAAGAGAAACTAGAGGTTCAATTAAATCCAATGTGCTTTTAGGTTGATGAAATGCAGTTGGTATGTTCTCCAGTTTTCTTGTATACAGTCAAATGTACTGTCTTCAACTGTACTTTACAACTGAATTGAAAATTCATTACCACAGGGTTTGAAATTAACGGTTGTCCCATTGAAACATATGAAGGGGTAACCAAATCTTAGGAAGTGTAGGAAGTGGTTGCTGCCTCCTCAAAAGAATGTTTCTACATCAGGTTGGCTTTTAGCATTTCTTACCTTTCCACAAGGAAGTTTCATGGCTTCAAGCCCCTCTAGGACTCGCTGTTCATACTTTCCAACATTGAGGCATTTGCAGATGCTAAAAGGGAGGAAGAAGCAAAACAACCATTGGTAAGTCTAATTATCACAAATCTCAGATGGTAATCAGGAAATGAAGAAACATCATAGGTGTATGACAGGTTATTAGATTGAATGCGTGTTTTTAAATGCAGTCGAACCTCAACTAATGACCACCTATCTATAATGACCATGACAGACAGTTAATACATTTCACTCTTATTTGACATCTTTTACAACATTCATCTAATAATGCTAAATTAAACATTTTTTGAAACAAAAAGTTTCAACACTGAAAAAAAACAGTTTCATTTTACACCCCTACCTCCCCATAATGACCACCCCTCTACAACAGCCACTTCCTCTGTCCCCACCGTTGCAGTTGTGGAGAGGTCTGACTGCACTACAAAGCCAGCCATAGCGCTACATGTATTTATCTGTCTCAACAGACTTTCTTTAGCATTAGTTTTAAAGTAGTGAAAGACTGTCTCAATCAGATGTACATGAAGGTGTGACTTTCAAGACTGTTTTAAGATTGCCAAAAGTGTCTTCAACTTGCATCCAGCAACGTTTTTTGCACCCGTAATAAATCTTTAAGTTACTTCTTTTTACTGTGTGATGACAAGTACAGTGTATCAATGGTCTGTTCAGGAATGAAGAGAAGCAAATTACAACAGCTTACCTCTTGACAGAAATCTTGTTTGAAGGACTCACCAAGTGGGTTGTCAGTTTAACATAGCTGAAAGAAGAAAACAGTTAATTTAAGATTTCTGGAACACTACACAGAGCATTTTCACATGACATCAGGTGTCTAAATTGGTGTACCAAAATAATGAAATGATAGCCATGTTGGTGTACCAAACCAATCCTGTGGGAGTTGAAGTATTTTCATGTGGCTAAACATAATTCAGGCAAAGTGAATCTCATGTCAATGCAGCCAGTGGTCACCCCCATTAGCATACGTGCCCTACGGGGTGACCTCAATAGCTTGCAACTCGCCTTGTGGCCTGTATACATTTTGTCACATTGCAGCTGATTTTTGAGGATCATTTATGAATTGAGCTGATCTTTACAAATCTCTGGCTGCCAATATTCGAGCAATTCCTAATTTTCTGTGAATTGGTGCAAATTCTTGCTCCGTCATGATTCACGGGTTTCAGTAAGTATAGGGTTACATTGTGGCTATATGTAAGTAACTTTCTAAACCCACTGCCCCACATTTGCCTCACTGATTATAATGAACTGATAAAAACAGGAATAATCTGAGTCTTTGTGGTCTGAATCAATAACCACTAGGCTTGGAACTAATCATTAATCTAATAGCTCCAGGGATGTACATGTGGCTGAGAAAACACTAAGCTCATTAACAAACCCAGCTGGCTCTTCTACCATTTGCAACTCCAAAGGTACTTATGTTATACTTACTTAAAACTTACACTACTTATACTTACACTACTTCCAATACATTTATTACAATACAATTACACTAAGTAAGTTCCTTTTCAGTATGTGAAATTAGCCAGCAGCCACCATATTGCTCACATGTATCACACTAATAAACTTATTGCAGCAGGGATAGACATCTTTTTGTCTGAATCTATGGCCCCTGGTCTTGCATGATAGTTTGTAAATTAACCTATGTTAACCCACTGATGGAGATAACCATCTCTTTTAATGGAGCAACTCAGCAGCCAGCAACAGTCATTAATTAACATTGTAAATGAACTCTTTTTCATTCACCACACAAATAAAAATGGATCTTTCAGTCCAGAGAAATAGCTTTGCATCACATTTCAATAACCACAACAACAGCCAGTTAATGGTTTTAGAAGGAGAGCAGCTCTGTCAGAGTAAAGCGTGTTGCCCAAAAGTACTGTATGATAGCCCAAGTTCATACAGGGGAATGCGAAACCCAACAAAGTTCTTTGTTGCATGGTTTACAAGTATAATTCAAGCATAGTGTATGAGCTCAAACAAAAGATTGTCCACATGGTTTTAACTTTCCAACATAACTCTTACTAGCTTTGTTTACTCGTTTGAAGTTTACAGAGCATCATAAAAATTCAGTCTATTAACTATGCCCAGGTCCATCAAGTTCTGTAGCATACATGTATTGGTCTGTAGTCAGTCACACTAACTGTTGTGGTACTCACCTCCCCTACGCCCTATCTGACATCAATATTTATTTTTGTATAGACATGGATCATTATCGCAGTTATGTAAACAACTTCAGGGAGCTATATCACAGTTTATGCATCTTAAAAAGTTTAGCCTAAATTTATCAAGTTCCTCGTTTGTAATCCTTGTCAATCTTCTCCATCCTCACCCATCCTTGTTCCTTAATGGTTTATTATTACCTCTTTTGTGTTTGTTTGTCTTAGTAAACTACTATTTTCAGCTTTCCTTCAGTTTAAAGGTAACTTTGCGCATGGTCAAAATAACTTTGAATACTGTGACTGAGCTCTTTTAAGCAACTGTGATCATTCATCTTTACATCTTTCTCCACAGTTCAAATATATGGTCTACAAGTATTCACTTGCAATATTTGCTTTCAATTTATAGATTATTATTGTTGCATGGTTCCTGTGGTTACTTACAGTTTCAACAGCTGTGTCAAGATGCTGGCATTGTAAATCTTGAGGTTGTGTAACAATGGACTGAGTCCTTTAATCCACTCCTGTTGGTAGCAACAATGTTCTTTTATACACAGTCATCATTATTTGGTTAGCCCCGGCAACATAACAGATGAGTTTGGTCAAGCCATAGTTTGTAGTTTGGCCAGACACCTGGGGGTGGGGTGGGGGGTACTCCCATAAATTTCAGATAGGTGTGTGCCGCAAAGGGTCTTAAACCCTGACCCTATGACACCCTGTTCAAGGGAAAAACAAAAACTAAGAATCGTGTGAATGGGTCAGCTTAATTTTGTTTCTGTAACATTGAAAGTTAAGCATCAAGCAAGCAATTTGTTTTTGGTATGCATGTGACATCATCATTTTCTAAAATCCAAAACTAAAGAGCCACCAAAGTTTTAACCTTCATCAGGCATAAGAGGGGAAAAATTTATATCTGTTATCAACTTTTCAGCTCAATAGCTTGCTTTGTCTGAAAACAAGCAAATTTTCAGAGTTATGGGGGTGAGTGACATAAAGTTATGAACGCATTTGTCAAAACATATATACTTATCTCATGATTTTCAGCCCTTTTAGAAGTATTAGGAAAAGTGCTTATTTAAATGGTAGCTTGATTGGTTCAGGTAATCAGTCACATAAATAGCCAAAGTAAGTTTCAGACGTTTACACTGTTTTCTGGCCACCATGATAGTATACCATGGAGGTACATCAAAATGGCGGCTCCATACTGGGCTCTGTAAATTTGGGCAAAATATTTCAACAAATACTTCAAGTTTGGGAAGACGTACAGATCTTAAAAACTTGGAGAATTGTCTCCTTTATTTGTCTCCTATAACATCACAATTTCTTGACTCTATCCACTGAATGGTTTCGAATTATTTTTTTATTGCATGACAGTGCAACCCAAGAATTTAAGGATCCAGAACTCAAAAGCCATACCCAATCCCATGGCACATACCAGAGCCAATACATATATCTTATTAGATGTTTTGGTGTGTGGTATCGCTGCATATTTTCACGAGTTTTGCGGTATTTTGACAAGCCCATTGGGGCGAGTCAAAATAAAAACAACAAGTAAAAATGTACAGTGATACTACACACCAAAACATCTAATAAGAGATTTATTATCCCATTGCTGTAGTCAATAAATTTAACAATAAAAGAGGGAGAGTGTGACAGTTTTACATGTGTGCGCCAACCTTTACGGCAAACAGGTTTTCTACTGTACAAATACGGCAAACAGGTTTTGTACTGTACAATATTGCTGTATATTTGTACTGTTATTTGGACAGTATTTGCTGAAGTTGGATAATAAATGGGAGTACCCAGCCACCCTTCCTCCCCAGGCCAGAGACATTCAAATTAAAATATCAAAGGTGACACAAAACAAGCTTGATGTCCCCCAAACTATACTAAAAATTATTTACCAAACCCAAATTCAGCCAAAAACAGATGGATATCACAACAAAGACTTGTGATATTGTCAAAAATCAGGACGGTAGACAAGGTTCCTCATTGGCTTATCACAAATTTGGGTACAAAAATAGTCAAAACAATATTGCTTAGTGAAGCAAGTACAGCTGGTTAACATAAACTTGTAAAATGAAAGTTAGTAAACTGCTTAGTTCACTGTGGTTTCAGAGCTGGGCAAACATGTCATATTGAACACACAAACAAATAACCTAACTGATACCAAAATCAACTATTCTGACCCACCTCCCACCTCCCCACCCCCACACTATTGCACTATTGCACTTGAACTGGAAAAAAAATCAGTTGGAAAGAGATATGATCACAAGACACAGCGGCACAAAGGGTTCAGATAATCAAGAGAAAAGTTATGCTCACCTCAGCAATTTTATTACTTTCCGCACACAAATGCATATATGAAACGTCCACGAGATTTGGACCATAAACAATGGTGAAGGATCTTCCTTCCAAAGATCCCTCCCCTTCATTTTGAAGTGACTCTCGTAATTTGACATCCTAAAATGAAGAAAACACAAGTTTTAGACATAAAGATTTAATCACAGTCTCTAAATGGTCACGGGGAATTCTTTTTTAATTTTCTGAAGGTGGATGAAAGGTGGGGGAGAATAAAAGGGGGAAAGAGAGGAAAAACAATGGAAACAAACTATCCTTAGCCAGAGATACAAATGTACCATCAAGCTGGATGTCGTAAAGGTTAAGTCATCATGCAAGCCAAGTGGCCCATCGGGGCAGGAGCTTATCCAAGCTTCTGTAGCATGAAACAACTCAGAATATATCTACTCCCCCCTGGATATAATGCTAGTCCATCACAGGGTTATCCCCAGCATTACATTTACCGGCATCCATTTGTACACCTGGCTGGAGAGAGGCACTGTGAGAGTAAAGTGTCTTGCACAAGAACACAACACAATGTCCAAGGCTTGAACCTGGACCACTCAATCCGGAGTAAAGCGCACTAACCATGAGACCATCGTACCTCCACAGGTTGGAGGTATACTACACTGCAGTTTGGTGGCCATCTATCAATTACTTTTTTTATCACTTACTTAAAACTAAAAGAACTAATTCTAAATCTACATCAAATCCTTATTCTCCCTCATTATCAAAATTAAAATATTTTAATCTCCCTTTCTTCTCTTTCATACAATTCTTACAAAATCATCAAAAAAATCTCAGAATACTGCAAAATCTTTCCCCTCTTAACATATTGACTGAAGGATTTTAATTTATACAATGTGGAACCTCCATTAATGAGAAAATAGTACCATAATGAGAAAAATGTGGCATTCAACTGTATTCCTCCCAGAAAGAAAAATTAGGTTTAAATGCATAAATGTCAACATGTGGAATGCATAAAAAAAGTTGAAATGTAACACCAAAATCTAGAATTTAGTTTCTTTGTACCAGAAAATACTAATTGCTATAATTTTTTTTGCAGCTTAAATTAGCATATTTTGCTTAAACGTGCTAGTATAATAATATCAGGTCGCAGGTCAGATTAATACGTCTCCATAACAACATGTTTCAGTCACTAAAATCTAATAACCATTGATATCATATAAATTAAAGTATCAGATTAACATGTCTCCATAACAACACATTTCAGTCTCTAAAATCTTTGAATAAAATAACCATATGATATAAATTTAAGTTTCAGGTTAATAACATTCCATAACAACAGACTCCAATAACAGCATTCTACATATAAAATAAGCCAGGATGAAAATTCAAAAACAGAACTGCTGTTGTTGTGGAAATTCCATTCATCGCAATACATTTAATGCATTTTACTACTTCAGATGCGATGTACATTGAGCATAGCAGCATTAACTCTGATGAAAAGGACCTGCAGCCATCATATATTGCTTCCAGACTTAATTTGACACCCAAATTTTCACATTCAGTAGAAGATACAGACACACTTGTAAGTGCATTTTGTACATCTTACATGTATTTGTAGATGCATGGATTAACAAGAACAGCTACAATCAGACTTCTTAGCTTTTATCATTCCATGATCTTTCAAAAATAATGTAATAGAAAAAATATCCAATTTAAAGTTCTAAACAACTGTTGAAAGGAAGTGCGGCAATTATACAACATACAGGACACTTCCTCATTACATTCTCCAGAAAATTGTTCTTTGATCTTTCTACAGTGATGCACATAAACATGATTCAATTTAAAGAAACAACGCTTAAGAGTAGAAGCAATGATCTGAACTTATTTAACAAGTTCATACTGAGGGTGAAAACAGCTTTAATGGAAAAGCACCCTTAACACTCCTAAAACCCTTGACATCACATTCAGATCTTATATTAACGTATAAGGTTACCCTGGGCTATAATAATTTAAACCTCCTGGGGTACTTGGATTGTTTGGAAGGTGGATTATGCTATCCACCAGATAAATCACTATCCAACAGATAGCCTGGTGTATTTTCCTAACACTTATCCACTGGATAGCAATTTATCTGGTGAACCTAACCTTATGCAGCCTTCAAATAGATGGGACCAGGTCTGAAACAGACCTTAACTATGGAGGACTCTTTTTGCTGGAGATCTGTTGACACCAGTGTCAAATGGTTGAAATGTCCTCCAAAAAACCATATTTCTCACAACGTTTAAAATTGCTGCTTTCCTTTGCTTTCCTTGGTTTGCTCTCTTCAAAGACGACACATAACCATGATGTACTTGCGTTAGTCACATAACTTAGTATGACGCATTAGTCTAAAAGTCATTCTCGCTAGCCCCCAAAAATTTCACCTCTTACATCACATCTGTGATTTAAAGGTCCTCCAAAAATGTTCCAAGAAACTGGGCTATCAGTTATGACTTTCTTTGTGCTACCTGCCTTGGCTGACATGCTAGTCAATGACAGGTAATAACTTTAAACAATGCCACTATCAATGAGAGGAAACCGCTCCCTCACGCTTACTTGCCATTGATTTAAAAATCAATAAAATGACAGCAAGGGCAGGATTGTAGGGCAAGCAATAATGAACTTTTGCAACTCTGATGAAGGTGCACAGAGGCCACCGAAAATTCAGTAAAGAAAAATCATATATCGGATTACAAAGAAGTTATTATAAGAAAACAGGTAATACATTTAGCACTTTGTCAGACTACCCCTGCCTTACATGTCACTCACTTAAATACCTGGCCTTTGGAGAGAAGCGTTGTGAGAGTAATGGGTCTTACTTAATCCAGAATCCCACCAAACAAGAAACCACTCCACTTCTCCCATGGTACTTATGTAAGCCATTGACAATGAGGTTTTCAGAGGTTTAGGTTAAAACTCAAATGGCAAAATCTGCTAAAAACAGCAAGATTGATCAAATGGGCTCCAGATAACAAACTAGGTGAGTACACTTTCTTCATTTTATTGAAAGTAGGACAAATCTATCCTTTATATGCATTTGAATTTATCGTTATTTCGAACTCCATACAATGTCTTATAGAGCACTCAAATTCACATCAGTCAGCATTGTAACACAACATCGCTTACTTCAAAGAGCCACACCCTACTCGCAACGTTCAAATAAATTATTAATTACTTCAATTTGTATTGTGCATTTGGGCTGCCTGTAGTTAAACAAGTTTCATGGTCACAATCAATTTTATATTATCTAATGTGTGGTTAATACCATATACAAGATAAAAGATAATTTTAATTCAGTACTATTTGCATACAAATTTAATTTTTTTTTTTTCTTTT